ACCACAACACTAGCTCCGTAACAGATATGATCCACACACTACAATGACCAACACTACAAACACGAGAAATATCCTTTTTCACAAAATCATACACCAAATCGTAGCTATATACCCAACTCATATACTCACATCCGTAGACCTTCGAACCAGACATGCACACCCTCACGCATATAAACACATATCTGCTACAACGGACACCTACAAATATTCATTCTTTCCACTCACAATAACAAAATGGAATATCCTTCCCATAGCAGCAGTACAATGCACAACACTAGAGGACTTCAAGGCACACTTACCCTATGCAGCCCTTGAAGCCCTCATCACACGCTAAACATACGCCAGCTTTTATCTTTTATCTATAGCTTGCACAAAATATCACACACACAAAAACAACTAATCACTGTAAATAACCCCCTTTTTCACGCCTCTGCAATAGGACTCCCGAGGGCATAAACATCACATTGATGGAGCCCCGTAAAACAAAGAAGAGTTCGGTACTGAGTGACCATTATTGTTATACTGTAGGTAAATGTTATAGAGTTCGGTAGTGAGTGACCATTATTGTCATACTGTATGTAATTATCATAGAGTTTGATAGTGAGGTTATTATTATTGTCATACTGTAGGTAAATGTTATAGAATTTGCTAGTGAGGTTACCATTATTGTCATTCCGTATGTAATTGTCATAAAGCTTTATGATTATCATTATCGTACTTTAGGTATGGAGTATATGTTGATGTGGTCATTATTTGTGTAATATTGCAGGTAATTGTCACAGAGTTTGAGCTGACCATTAATACTATATGGTTATAGACTGTGATTGTGAGGTAACCATTAAAGTGAAACTGCGGGTATCCATCATAGTGTTTGATTGTGAGGTAACCTGCACCGTAGTTTAAGAATAAATTATATCTTATTCCTTTACTACGGTTTATAAGCACCTTTCCCAATTTGCTGTATTTTACATATAAAACGGGACACTTTGATTACAGCTTTCTAATTCTGTATATCTTTTAGCACCACAGATGCGTCCTTAATGGACGAACTTGCCATAGAGTGCAGTACATACTTGCTAAACTTTCTAGAAAAGCTCCTTCACTTCGTATTTAAATACAAAAATATTAAGCTTACTAAGAGGAACTTGTGGTGTCTAAATTAAAACACTGATACAAAACAAATAAGGTAACATTCTAACATTCAGTTCTTTGACTAGAGATCAATGGGATCGCACAGTCAGCTATTTAATAAAGACTTATAAAACTGCAGAGTGTCTAATGACGTCACGGCCATATCGTATACACCTGTGTCTACCTTACCCATTGTTTTATAAAGCAGGCGTCAATTACTGAATCGTTGTCCAAAGCATTGTCATCTTTAAATAATGTCATTTAAACTCGTTCTGTGCGTGTGTTTATAACAATATTACAGTTAACTGGTTAATTATCATTTTCACTATCGCTCTAACATTCTCAATCCATTCTCAATCCGCAAAGGAGAGTAGGTTAGTTGTGACATTTGTTTGAATAAGAATAATACAGTTGGTAAGATGATGTTAACTGGGCAATGCCAGGATAGATCTGACTATCTTACCTCATTTACCAAAGATAGAGACGATATAAGACCTTGTCATTTACATGTCAGTGAGATGATATTGCGGTATATATTGGATCTGTTTTGTGTATCTGGATCAGCTGTTATCCAAGTGTATGTGTTCTCTTGGCATGACAGTGAATGACAGCGGATGGTCTGACATTGGGATTTAAAGGTAGGTGCTCACTTTAGATCGAAGGCAAAATTTGATATAATAATATTGTACACATCAACTGTCATACAGTGTCTATTTAAAAAATAGATATATATACGAAAGAAATAATAAAACGTCAACTATAATATGCTAAGTCGGAATAGGAACCGACGGTTTACAATACTAATCATATGAACAATTACAATGTGTAAACGAACTAATGATGAAGGGGAATTTAATAGCGTGTTGCTTGTATAAAGGGGAAAACATAACAGGTTGTTTTCAATTTTCCGAATTCTGGATATCTATATTATAACTTAAAAAGTATCAAAATGAACCTGTTGGAAAATGGTTTGGGGTTTAAGACCGTTTGTTAAGTTCGAGAAAATAATGAAAATATTATATCTCATCAAAATTGAAGTATAATATATATCTCATAGAGTATGGATAATGAAAACGTATAAAAGATCAACTGAAGTGCAATAGGGATTTTCAAATAAATCGGAATCGATACATTGAAAAAAAATGGGTTTGAAGCATTTTCAAGTTGAAGACCTTAGGTTTCCTTATTCAGGGTAGAAAATACTTTTTGTTAATTTAAATATTGATTTATGTCTCATTGACTAAAATAAATTTGCATGTAATTTTCAATCATGACCAATGTTAATTGTTGGTCGGCAGGACTAGCTATGAGACACTTTGTTGGTCGGCAGGACTAGCTATGAGACACTTTGTTGGTCGGCAGGACTAGCTATGCGACACTTTGGAGTACTTGAACGATATACAACCTTATTTTCTACGTATTTTTGTTTTTCTTTTTAATACTGACATATTGTTTATTATATAAAGATATCCATAATTGAGGAAAACAAAAACTCAATTATGTTACAATTATAAAGACTTAGTTTGTTTTTAACACAAACAGGAATTGAAACTTATTTTGCGAGCTTTCGGAAACGTCTGTTTGACCGGTGTCTCGACATATGTTACCCGTCCCCCTGGCTGCCTGAAGTATTAGAGTGCAATTGGGCGAACTCTCTCTATGATTTTTGACAGCTGACTTTACTTGATTCGGTCCACTGAGGCTTAGTGAGTTGTTTTCAGCGGTACAGAGTCGAGACGTCGGTCATTTGCATTCTTTGCTTGACAAAGGAAACAGACGTTTTCGAAAGCTCGCAAAATAAGTTTTCAATTCCTGTTTGTGTTCAAAACAAACTTGGTCTTTATCATTCATACCAAACTGATGAATCTTACTCTGTTACAGTTATTTTGGTGTTTGGACTCTATTTCTGGCAGAATGTCCTAACTATGTACTGACTTTCTATGGTATCCCTAAAAAGGAAACACAGGAACACAGACTTTATTTTGTTCATGTCGCTTTAGGATATATGTACACCAGTGTCCGTTAAATGGCACAAGTTACTAACGTACATCTACATGTCCTGTTAGGAGTTACGTACATGTACACTAATGTCTGTAATGGTATCAGTTATTGACCTTTATTATTTAATCAAACATATAGCACATGATGACGTCACGGGGGTTAATTTGCAGGTCAGATAATTGTAGTCGGATACTAGACCAGAAATTACTAGACCACGGGTTGTGTGTCGATCACAGCACACATTATGTATATGTACATACATTTGATCTGTCACTACGCCATGGTCACTGACGAATAGATTAATCCTTCAATAAATGATATAATCATTTCGTTTACTCAACAACGACTCCTGGACATACTGCCATATTAAAGTTGAATAGAAAAGATATCAATCTAATTTTAATATCTCAAACTGTAATCAAATAAATGTCAACAACATGTTTACAAAAAATATTCTTATCTTAATGATAATGGTCTCAGTGTACTTATTTCATTCAGAACGGCACTATATGTAAAGGGCGTAGACTATTATTGTCCAACAAGACACTGGAGGAATATATAAAACGATGGAGTGTTTTTAAGGGTTTTGGTTTGTTTATAACGTTTGCTTTAGGACGGTGGATTTACATAACTGCAACCTTTCTATCAAGTGTATTATTATCTTATAAAATGTCAACTATAGAAAAGGGATTAGTTGTAAATCTGTCGACGCTAAACAACGGTGATGGCTATGGAGCACTATTCAGATACACCCTTAATTCAGTGTGAAATCGGAATATAAACTGTGGTTTCATTGTTACTATGTTAAATACAATGTATCTGACAAGTAATGACATAAAAGAATTTGTTTATGGTGGTGCACAAGAATGCACAAGAAGTAAGGCCTAAAACAATGTAGATGTGTATGAATGGATAAACATACAATTTCTCACAATTCCAAGTCACCTTTGTCTGGTGATAACAACTGAAAACAATTGAAATTTCTTTATTTAATGAAGAGATTTGCCATGGCGAAACGATGTTCTGGGTGCGTCACCCTGTGGCTGACGAGTATAACCGGACTTAGCCTACCCCTGCTGTGGATGGATATGGTTAATAGGGTGAGAAGATGACAAACGAAATGTATCATGGATATGTAATTTTCTTTTACAGAAGTGGCATTCTCTTAAAGCATACCCAATAGGTAGACTGTCTAGAAATCTTTTTGAAAAAATCATTTTCCTTGACTCCTTGAAGTGTAACTAAATGTTTATACTGAATTTTCCTATATTCGACAACCAAACTGCTAAGATTTGCCTGGTTTAATTTTCAATGTCACTTGAGTCGGTGACTTTCAAGCTTCCTCCGATAGCGCATTCCAATCTGTTACCACCCATGGTGCAATTAAATTCTTTATTACATCCAGTACACTTTCTACCTACCAGGTCCCCTCCGACACCCAAAAATCTTTCAGATAGTAGCTTTAGGTTCCTTATTCCGTTATAATATTTTACCATCATTTGGCATGGCAGTTTGGTGGCTCTATACCGTAGGTTTTCCACGAGGATGATGTCCTGTTGTGTTGTTGGCAGGGATTGTAAACGCTGGCACCTTACCTGATATGTGGTCTAACTTAATTTCGTAAAGTCTGTGAAAGGTTTCTGTCTTTTCCGACGCCCGGATTGTGATGAACAGCATTGCACTGTGTCTAAACCTTTTTCCTCTGTTTTCAATATCACTTGGTGTATAGTGGCATCTTTATCCTTGTACAGTTGCAGATTTGGTGTATAGTGGCATCTTTATCCTTGTACAGTTGCAGACTTGGTGTATAGTGGCATCTTTATCCTTGTACAGTTGCAGACTTGGTGTATAGTGGCATCTTTATCCTTGTACAGTTGCAGACTTGGTGTATAGTGGCATCTTTATCCTTGTACAGTTGCAGACTTGGTGTATAGTGGCATCTTTATCCTTGTACAGTTGCAGACTTGGTGTATAGTGGCATCTTTATCCTTGTACAGTTGCAGACTTGGTGTATAGTGGCATCTTTATCCTTGTACAGTTGCAGACTTGGTGTATAGTGGCATCTTTATCCTTGTACAGTTGCAGACTTGGTGTATAGTGGCATCTTTATCCTTGTACAGTTGCAGACTTGGTGTATAGTGGCATCTTTATCCTTGTACAGTTGCAGACTTGGTGTATAGTGGCATCTTTATCCTTGTACAGTTGCAGACTTGGTGTATAGTGGCATCTTTATCCTTGTACAGTTGCAGACTTGGTGTATAGTGGCATCTTTATCCTTGTACAGTTGCAGACTTGGTGTATAGTGGCATCTTTATCCTTGTACAGTTGCAGACTTGGTGTATAGTGGCATCTTTATCCTTGTACAGTTGCAGACTTGGTGTATAGTGGCATCTTTATCCTTGTACAGTTGCAGACTTGGTGTATAGTGGCATCTTTATCCTTGTACAGTTGCAGACTTGGTGTTACCTTCTATTCACATTTAGTTTGCTTTACCTCATTGTATCTATGAGGCGACATATGTGGTGCCTCCAACATAATTCATCTCACTATAGGAGAAGAGAATGTCATACAGATCTCTAATGATTGTTTTAGATTCTGCGAGTTTTCATCCGGCTACCCTTTATCTTGCGGATGGTAGCTTCAGATTCCATGTTCTGTACTCGTATGTTTTATGCTTTCGGCAGTTCTTTGAGCTCCATACATAATTTCTACCTATAGACATTGTCACAATAGGATGTTATTTAGAAAGGGGGCTGTGGTGGCTAAGTGGTTAAGGCGTCTGAAATTCTGCTACCACTAGGCCTCCACCACTGGGTCGCGGGTTCGATGCCTACATGGTACAGTCGCCAGGCACTGGTCGGTGGTTTTTCTCTGGGAACTCCGGCTTTTCTCCACCACCAAACCTGGCACGTCCTTAAACTACCATAGCTGTTAATAGGACGTAAAACACAACCAAACTCAAAGGATGCTATAGTATTAAGTATATGGTAGCAATCACGTGCTTGTCCTACGTTCATCTTCTATTCAGAAGATATTCTTATCTAGGAAGGAGTCCTATATTCGCTTTCCTCTAAATGTCTAGTTTGATTTGCTTACGTTTCCTTTATTGGATTGGCTTGGTTTTTCTTTTGTTCTTTAACGACAAAAGGTACTCTGTTGGTCCACTACGTTTACCGAGGTTGGCCTTATAACACTTAGCTGGAATTTATCATTGCGCGGTTTATGATCTATTGCAGCGAAACAATTGTCAATATTTGATCCTTAGTGAGTTTTGAGTCTTTCAGCTGTGTCTGTGTTCATTTCTACAAATGTCTTAGAACACTTCACATTAATTTTCGCTCTGTTGAGTTTCAGTCCCATAGATGGGTCGTAAATGAATAACATGTTCAAATGGTGCAGTGAATATATATTTTGTTGGGCTCTCTTAAACGACAAACTGAATTTCTAAATAGATGATTTCCTCCTTCGTAATCTTTAAATGTAAATAAATCCTGTGTAACCTAACGTGGATCTGCTTTAATGTCTTACGTCTTCCTCTTTTCTTGATATATTGTAGGGCTTACAGACTTGGTTTTTGTAATAGTAAACGTATTAAACGGAATTTGGACAATTGAAATGCTTAATGATACAATTGTAAACAATTTGAAGTGCTATAATTCTGAGAACACGGTTAATCATAACCGTGTTCTATTGTACTCTCTTGACTGAGGTTTGTTTTCATCCTAGGGTCCAGGAAACCTGATAAAAACAGTATCTGCCACACAGACATCTAGGCTAGACACTTGTATGATCCCGTCTCATTCCGCGCTTGTGACGTACACCCTCCCCAGACTGGCCACGCTATACCACACGTAGGTCACGGTATTATGATAGGGGGCTATAACATCGACCTTGATAAAATATACAAAGGTTTCTAAAACCTTCAGTACCGATAGTTGTTAATTTTTACATGAATACACAATGGTACTGTTGTTTGCTCAAACGCAATCTTGTTGACGATAAAAAAAAATTACAAACATTTGCATTTTTTATATATTTGGATAAGACGGTCCAATGTGAAATAATCATTTTTTTCACAATAAAAGCCCATTCCACGTCATACATGAGCGATATTACGTTTTGGCCCCTACCATTACCAATAAGTCATAGAAGGACGAAATAGCTTTATGGTGCAATGTCATTAGTTGTGGCATACTGTATCAGATACGAAATGTTCTTGGTGCAATCGCCTATTTGCGTCTATTGTAAGGTAACCATTGTGTCCACAACATGTTCTATGCCACCATTGTTTTTATAAATGTAATATATAACTCAAATGAAGTCTTGATAAACACAGCCACGACAACAAAACTAGATCAGTTTCTATCTAATGAAACAGTTGACGAATTATGCTAGGTAGACAGCTCACCAACCATTCACGTTTATGTTAAACTTACAATACAGTATTTTAGATGGCAGGTTAACCAAATTGTTTATGTTACACTTACAACACGGTGTTTTAGATTACAGGTACACCAAATTGTTTATGTTACACTTGCAACACGATGTGTTAGATTACAGGTACACCAAATTGTTTATGTTACACTTACAACACGGTGTGTTAGATTACATGTACACCAAATTGTTTGTGCTACACTTGCAACACAGTGTGTTAGATTACAGGTACACCAAATTGTTTGTGCTACACTTACAACACAGTGTGTTAGATTATAGGTACACCAAATTGTTTATGTTACACTTACAACACGGTGTGTTATATTACAGGTACAACAAATCGTTTATGTTAAACTTACAACACGGTGTGTTATATTACAGGTACAACAAATTGTTTATGTTACACGAACAACCCGGTGTTTTAGTTTACAGGTACACCAAATTGTAGGTACAACAAATCGTTTATGTTAAACTTACAACACGGTGTGTTGGATTACAGGTACAACGAATTGTTTATGTTTCACTTACAACACGGTGTGGTAGATTACAGGTACAACGAATTGTTTATGTTTCACTTACAACACGGTGTGGTAGATTACAGGTACACCAAATTGTTTGTGCTACACTTGCAACACAGTGTGTTAGATTACAGGTACACCAAATTGTTTATGTTACACTTACAACACGGTGTTTTATATTACAGGTACAACAAATCGTTTATGTTACACTTACAACACGGTGTGTTAGATTACAGGTACACCAAATTGTTTATGTTACACGAACAACACGGTGTTTTAGTTTACAGGTACACCAAATTGTTTATGTTACACTTACAACACGGTGTTTTAGATTACAGGCACACCAAATTATTTATGTTACACTTACAGCACGGTGTGTTAGATTACAGGTACCTAAATTGTTTATGTTACACTTACAACATGGTGTGTTAGATTACAGGTACACCAAATTGTTTATGTTACACTTACCTGACGGTGTTTTAGATAACAGGTACACCAAATTGTTTATGTTACTCTTACAACACGGTGTGTTAAATTACAGGTACACCAACTTGTTTATGTTACACTTACAACTTATGTTACACTTACAACACATTATGTTAGAAACATGTACACCAAATTGTTTATGTTACACTTGCAACACGGTGTTTTAGATTACAGGTACACCAAATTGTTTATGTTACACTTACCTGACGGTGTTTTAGATAACAGGTACACCAAATTGTTTATGTTACACGAACAACACGGTGTTTTAGTTTACAGGTACAACAAATCGTTTATGTTACACTTACAACACGGTGTGTTAGATTACAGGTACACCAACTTGTTTATGTTACACTTACAACACGGTGTTTTAGATTACAGGTACAACAAATCGTTTATGTTACACTTACAACACGGTGTGTTAGATTACAGATACACCAAATTGTTTATGTTACACTTACAACACGGTGTTTTAGTTTACAGTTACACCAAATTGTTTATGTTACAATTACAGGTACACCAAATTGTTTATTTTACACTTACAACACGATGTGTTAGATTACAGGTACGCCAAATTGTTTATGTTACAATTACAGGTACACCAAATTGTTTATGTTCCACTTACAACACGGTGTTTTAGTTTACAGTTACACCAAATTGTTTATGTTACAATTACAGGTACACCAAATTGTTTATTTTACACTTACAACACGATGTGTTAGATTACAGGTACGCCAAATTGTTTATGTTACACTTCCAACACGGTGTTTTAGATTTCAGGTACAACAAATCGTTTATCTTACCCTTACAACACGGTGTGTTAGATTACGTAAGTGTAACATAAACAATGTGGTGTAGCTGTAATCTAACACACCGTGCTGTAAGTGTAACATAAACAGTTTGGTGTACATGTAATCTAACACACCGTGTTTATGTTACACTTACAACACGGTGTGTTAGATTACAGGTACACCTAATTGTTTATGTTAAACTTACAACACGGTGTGTTAGATTACATGTACACCAAATTGTTTATGTTACACTTACAACACGGGGTGTTAGATTGCAGGTACACCAAGTTGTTTATGTTACACTTACGACACGGTGTGTTACATTACAAGTACATCACACTGTTTATGTTACACTTACAAACACGGTGTGTTAGATTACAGGTACGCCAAATTGTTTATGTTACACTTACAACACGGTGTGTTAGATTACATGAAGAAATTGTTTATGTTACACTTACAACACGGTGTGTTACATTACAAGTACATCACACTGTTTATGTTACACTTACAACACGGTGTACTAGATTACAGGTACACCAAATTGTTTATGTTACACTTACAACACTGTGTGTTAGATGCCAGGTACACCAAATTGTTTATGTTACACTTACAACACGGTGTGTTAGATTACAGGTACACCAAATTGTTTTTGTTACACTTACAACACGGTGTTTTAGATTACATGTACAACTAATTGTTTATGTTACACTTACAACACAGTGTTTTAGTTTACAGGTACACCAAATTGTTTGTGTTACACTTACAGCACGGTGTTTTAGATTACATGTACACCAAATTGTGTATGTTACACTTACAACACAGTGTATTAGTTTACAGGTACACCAAATTGTTTATGTTACACTTACAACACGGTGTGTTAGATTACAGGTACACCACATTGTTTTACGTTACAGATACCTATCGAGCGAGCAAATACCGTGTAAACAGGGAGTACGACTTGGCAGGACACGGTCGGGTGGTTGGGATGTGTGTATTGATGAGGAATTCAGGCTGGCCGATCCATGCGTCGTTTACTCATTCGGGTAAGGGCGTTCTACCATACAACACTTGCTTTATTCAGTTTCGTTTTTCTGATCTAGATTATTCCTACTAACCAGGTACTGACCATTGGTCGGTGGTTTCTTCTCCGGGAACTCCGGCTTTCCTCCACCACCAAAACCTGGCACGTCCTTACCTTTCTTCGTCTAGAGTATCCATATACGTTACACTTGTGTGTGTTCTTGTTCCTGGTCGTTGATATGTATTTAATGGCATAAGCGATATATATGCAAATTCTATATGGCCAATATGTTGGATAGAATGCTATGTTCATAAAAGAGTGGCATCACAATATTGCCTTCAAAACTCAAAGAAAACAAATGTAAAAAACAAGTATTGTTATTGTTTGTAGTACTGCCAATAAATCACCACAAAATATATCTACATAAAGTAATCATTTAATTTTCTTATACAATTCTTTCATTTGCAGTGTTGGAAAAGACTTTTCTTTCAGCGAGGAAATGACGAGGACATTCGGCTGTTTTGTCTACGCCTTCGACCCAGGGTACCTTTCCGCTGATATCTACTTTAATGTTTTACTTAAATATGATATCCTTAAACGTTTCACTTGATATATCATCAACCGATCATTATAATTGTCGTTTGGATTATTAATCAAAACAAACATATGAAGACAGAGAAGTAAACATGCACTATCCGAAAAACAGATTCACCTTTCAGCCTCCGTGTAGATAATGTACCACTGACTATTTACACTACCAATAGAGAATCTTTGACGAGTTTTCTGTGCATGTCATTCTGGTCAAATATGATCAGAACTACGTTTGCTGCCTTTCATTTATGGTAAATATGTAGAATGTTTAATCATTTCTAGGGTCATTGCTTTCTTTATTGCATATATATCGTTTTCTGAAACAAAAGTGACGGGCATGCATCCGTACGTTGATAAAAAAAAGGCGCCATTACATGCAGGCATTGCAATGTGAGTTCTGTGGAATTCGTCTCCATTTATTGCATATATATACCTCGTACAATGCGGTAAAGAAACGATATCACACATAATGTGTCTCTGGAACTTCTCCTTCGTCTACTCTCCTCAAAACTGGTTATTTTGTTTAATTACATGTCAGGGTGAAACGTACCGGAAGACGACAACTACAGAGGTTGATATTCACTCCCGAAGGTATCAACAACTTTACCGGATATAGTCGGCAACGACGGACACGCATGAGTACGTTGAAAGAAATACGGCGCCATTTCGGGCATTGTGATGTGAGTTCTGTGAAATACGTCACCATAATGGAACAAATATGGCGACTTTGTTTATATCCCTTTTTCAATTATTGTTTACATGATAATTACATCATTAAAGACATGGTCAATGTTTGCTTTTAAATGTAATTGTTTTCCAAGAATTTCATGTTGTTGCGCCTGTTTTCTGAAAATTATGTTGTTTATTTCCAACTGTCTCATAATATTCATTTAACTTGATTCTTTTCTTTGAAACACATGTTAAAGATAAGCCAAATATTGTTGCTGTTGTGGATTTTTGTTTCAGAAAACGGTAGATGTAATAACAATGGACATCGCTCCGACAGAATTAGCCGTCATTCCTCACGCCCTACAACACGGCGACCTCCACAGCGTCAAACAGTTCAATCTAAGGCTCGGTAACCCGGCCCATGTTTTAAAGGAGACGACAGAGAATTATATAAGTAGACTGAACGTCCTCCGTGATTTATGTTTCGTCGGCTTCAGAAGCTGGATAATCAATGAAAACAACAAGTGTTTATTTCATTCCGACGTATTACATAAACACGTCATTGGATGTCACGAGGTCTCCTTTCTTAACCTCAGATATATATAAACAATCAGTTACCATAGTAACGATCCTATAAGTGCAATCATATGAGAATACCGATTCCTTCTTTGAGTGTACATATGTATTTAGGAAAACGTATATGTCTTACAGTAGTTAGCGTTCTACATACGTTAGCAAATTAAAGAGCGCGCAAGAGGTGAGGAAATATCAAAGTTTAACTTTATACACAAACAACGTACGTATTTAACGTGTCGCAACGTTTCAATCACAGTCACTCAGTCATAGCTTGACAAAGGGACCAGTTGGTCTTGAAACGTTGCGACACGTTAAATACGTACATTGATTGTAGATTATCACACTGTATTTTCAGTGTTTGTCGTGAGAACATTTTCTCATCGCGAGCACGTGGATAAAATCGAGAGGCCACCGCAGATGGATTCGAGATTTTATCTACGTGCTCGCGATGAGAAAATTGATCTCTTGAAAAAGGAAGGGAAATTTGATATCAACTTTTTATCATCGTCTTGCTAAAACTTTCTTTGTCGCCTTTAGTTGTAATTTACCACGGAACTGTGGTGTTTTCGGAAAATTCAACAGATTTTCAAAACTTAACCATTTAAGTCACCTTTTTTAATCAACATAACGTGGTTTAATACAGTTTTCAGTTAAAGTAATGTTACATTTTTCTTCAAACCATATTGCGATTCATATTATTTACAGACATATAAAATAGCATGCTTCAGTCACATGACTCGATATACATCACATCTTTATCTGACGTCACAGTTTTTGTTTGGACGAACAACGAGTGTACTTAACCACGGATGTTCAAAAGGTGATTAGCTTAATCACTATTTGACGCTATTTTCAACCTTTTATAGTTTCGCCAATGAACAAGGTAAAATCTTACAATTTTGCATGTAAATTAATATTTGAGATCTGGAAAGATGTAACTTATTCAATGGTTGTGTTTTAAAGATAACAAAACAAAATGTGCGCTAACCACAAATCAAGCTAAACACCTTCTGAACAACTGGGCCCCGAGTGGTGACTGTTATCTACGACATAAGCTGTCGATTGGCATCTGTGGAATAATATTTGATACTTAAAAGTACTCTTAACGTGCATACTACATCTCTTCTGAACTGAACCCAGGGTCAATAACTTAACGTGTATACAACATCTCTTCTGAACTGAACCCAGGGTCAATAACTTAACGTGCATACAACATCTCTTCTGAACTGAACCCAGGGTCAATAACTTAACGTGTATACAACATCTCTTCTGAACTGAACCCAGGGTCAATAACTTAACGTGTATACAACATCTCTTCTGAACTGAACCCAGGGTCAATAACTTAACGTGTATACAACATCTCTTCTGAACTGAACCCAGGGTCAATAACTTAACGTGTATACAACATCTCTTCTGAACTGAACCCAGGGTCAATAACTTAACGTGTATACAACATCTCTTCTGAACTGAACCCAGGGTCAATAACTTAACGTGTATACAACATCTCTTCTGAACTGAACCCAGGGTCAATAACTTAACGTGTATACAACATCTCTTCTGAACTGAACCCAGGGTCAATAACTTAACGTGTATACAACATCTCTTCTGAACTGAACCCAGGGTCAATAACTTAACGTGTATACAACATCTCTTCTGAACTGAACCCAGGGTCAATAACTTAACGTGTATACAACATCTCTTCTGAACTGAACCCAGGGTCAATAACTTAACGTGTATACAACATCTCTTCTGAACTGAACCCAGGGTCAATAACTTAACGTGTATACAACATCTCTTCTGAACTGAACCCAGGGTCAATAACTTAACGTGTATACTACATCTCTTCTGAACTGAACCCAGGGTCAATAACTTAACGTGTATACTACATCTCTTCTGAACTGAACCCAGGGTCAATAACTTAACGTGTATACTACATCTCGTCTGAACTGAACCCATGGTCAATAACTTAACGTGTATACAACATCTCTTCTGAACTGAACCCAGGGTCAATAACTTCACGTGTATACAACATCTCTTCTGAACTGAACCCAGGGTCAATAACTTAAATAATTTACAATCCCGGAACAATATAATCAACTCAATAAAGACGGGATGTATTTCATGAGGGGGTACTTTCGGAAAAATGAAACCTATGTATATTTGATACTATGAAGTTTATATGATATTCCAGAAAAGACTTAAATACCTGAAAGTGATCATTTAAAGTGTAAGTACCTCATTCTCAATTGTTTACTCAAACCACTCAAGCAACCAACGAGAGTGTTTGGTACATGTACAAGTCCCCACAATTCGCTAAGTTCTCTCCCCACTATACATTACACAGAAACGATACAGGGCACGAGGTGACAAAAATCAAACACTCATATAACTTAATATGAAGGGGTATCAAAGAGACAGGAAGGAGAGTCAGGAGTTAGAGTGATAGAGATGTCCCAGTTTCAACACCCGACAGTTGTCAACAGTTGAGTCCAAACCTTACTGTAGGTATTACACGGACATTGCTTTGGAATTGGAGATAAAAAATGTCCCTTAAAATTATATGGAAATGAGGGACTTGCTGAATACCAACGTTCAAAAGAGCATTCGATACTGGAAAAGTGAATGTTTTCGCGGTGTGTCAATGTTCGCGTTTGACGCATTGAATATCTTAGCGCGAAAATGTCCACACGCAAATATTCATCAGTAGATTATAAAGGTTAAAGATCAATCAGAATTCCCACGCTGCGATCTCTTCAGGGGTTCAAAACGCGAAAATTTCCAATTCCCACGCTGCGATCTCTTCAACGGCTCAAAACGCGAACATTTCCAATTCCCACTCTGTGATCTCTTCAAAGGTTCAAAACGCGAAAAATTCCATTTTTACACTAATCCTTTTCCTATTTGAAAATAATGAACAGATGAAAACAATGATAGGCATCTCCATGACCATCTTCACAATGACAGCTAGGCTGATGATCAAATCTGGGTAGCAGGAACTTCTCTACCCGAGTACTAAGTAACAAAAAAGGACAAATATATCCAGCTGTTCTTTGAAACACGGGAATATTAAATATTCAACAATTAAATTTGTGATGCTAATTTTACCTATGTAATGCATTATTCTAGTATATCTTAGGAAAAACAAAGCGTTTATCTTTGGTTATCTTAGACAGTATTGGTAATCCTACGTTCTTAAGTTTATTGGCCTTTCGGCTAATCAGCATAAACATTACAACACATTTTACAAAATTGAGTGAGTAATACACAGCAATACAGACATATAATGGAGGATGGACAATATACATGTAATTATTCATTTGATCTCAGTTGTGAAGCCGCAATTAAAAGTTTGGAAAGATTATTCAATTTCTTCTTATTTCTAACAGAAAGTAAGTTAATTAATTTAAATATAGACGGTCTAATTCTGTAATATCTATCAATGTGTTGTGTTCTTACTTCGTTGTAAATTGGACAAACAAGAATAAAATGCAATTCGTCCTCTATATCGCCTAAGTTACACTTTAAACATAGTCTTTCATTTCGAGGTATTCTCTCATATCTGCCACTTTCTATACGAAAGTCGTGTGAAGATAATCTAAATTTCACAATGGTTAAAATACAAGATTCATGAAAACATTTACAAAGATAATACTGAAGACAATTAACCTCGGGCAGATATCTATATAAAAAAATCGTAGAGTTCTCAAAAGAATATATTGTATTTTGTATAAAAGCATCATGTAGACGTAGTTTAACGTCCAGTATAAATTGATTCTTACATACAACTTTCTGATTATACCAAACATATCCAAAACCTAGAGACATTAACATTGATTTAACATCACTAAGCCAGTTGGCCTTTGTATTTACTTCAGACAACATATCCTTATACAAGGCTTTCAAAGTACAGTTCTCTGTTTCAAGCAATTTCAACCAATACTTTATTATTCTCATTTTCGGTATTATACAAAGTGGTAACTTGAATCTACCAAATTCAGAGTACAACATATTGTTTGGAGTACACCTTCTAACATTAAGTAAGCGCTTACAAAAATCTATGTGCACTTTCTCCACGTCAGGGGCAGCATGGAATCCCCATACTTCACAGCCGTAGTTTATTCACTTGAAACATAAATATCAAATACATACGTATATTTTAGTTTCAAAGTTTTACAAAAATGTTATTACAAATATTCATTATGAGGTATACACATTTTCGACCTTGCTGACTAATAATAATCTGAGTTTTGGTAAACTTTCCATTATAAAACAATGTAACACCCAGATAATTGAAGGACTTAACAATTTCAAAGGTTTTTCCATTGTAATACCATCTGTTAGTATTTGAAAGATTGCCGCCATTACGAAAGACAACGATTTTCGTTTTGGCCACATTAACCTCTATATTCCATTTGGTACTATAGTCATACAAGGTATCAAGCATAGTCTGAAGTCCTTCTATGGACTCAGAAAAAAAGGGCAGTATCGTCCGCATACACATTCAGTGGTTTTCATGATCAACTCATTTTCAAAATCATTGATATAAAGAGAGAAAAAATAAAGGGAGATAATCCTTCCCCTTGCATAAGCCCGTTTGTGACATTGAAAAAGGTAGATAACTCCGACTCATATTTTACACAAGATGTAACCATTTCATAAATGGATTTAACGATAGTGTACATTTTTCCAGTGACCATATTCCTGGCTAACTTACAAAACAATTTCTTACGATTAATAGTGTCAAACGCTTTTTCATAGTCTATGAAACAACAATAAGTTTTTTTCTTTTGTAACAAAATCTATTAATTACGCCGTGAAGTGTAAAAATAGCGTCAGTTGTCCAAAAACTAGGACGAAAACCAAACTGAGCGTCTGCTATAATATTATTACAATCTGACCACTCTAACAATATGTGATTAAGAATAGAAGTAAACAGTTTCGACAGACAACTTACAAAAGTTATGCCTCTATAGTTATTGGTATCACTAACATTACCTTTTTATGTTGTGTAATAATAACACCACGTGACCAACACTCTGGAAATATACCTCCAGTGAAAATCATATTAAATAATCGTTTTAACAATGGCACAAAAATATCTTTAAAAATCACAAAATATTCATTTAGGAGGTTGTCTAAACCTGGAGACTTATTCGGCTTGGATTTTTTTATGACCTTTAAAATTTCAGTCTCTGTGATTTCATTGTCTAATTCAAGAAATATAAATTCATAAGAATCGTATTCTATATCATCAGAATTATTCTAATCAGCATCAAAAAAAAATTTTTTTTGAATAAACGCTAAAACTGTTTCGTGTTTGCTTTACACAAGTAATTCATTCTATTACCTTCATGCGTATTAAACCTTCTTTTCATCTTGCGCTCGTACATTTTAAACCTACGTTTATTCAGAGACGTATATTATGTGTTACATACGTCTCTGGTTCATTTTTCAGCAAAACACTTCTATTTTCAGGAGTACGCGAAAAATTAAAGTCACCAAGCGCTTGTATAAAAACTTACAATGATTGTCAAACCAAGGTTTGTCATTAGAGACACATCTACCAGCTCTGTCGGTACTGGATCTGTACGAAAAGTCTTGCCACAAAATGGCGTGAATACATCACACAACAAGGAAGACAAGTTTACTGCACACTGGTTTACATGTACAGAATTGTTCTCCAGTGACGTCACCATTTCATTTAACTCATTTTGTTTGGTAACTAATACATCACGCATCTTTTCTATATCAGCGTCGTTCCATCTATACACAGAATGCTTTTCGTTTTTAAAAGCAAAATCGGTATTAATTACATTCAAGTTATCACATTGGACAAAAAATTCAACTGGTGCATGATCGGACCATAAATTAAATCAGAGAAATAAGCTAATTTAGGTCTATGATTAAAATCACAAAATTGCAACCTGTTCGTAGTTTTAAAGCATGATTTGTCAATGAGTACATATACTCGATGACACTTGAGTCTAGATGATTAAAAAATATTGAACGACCAGATACATAATCTGGCTTTCTGCCATTTACACACGAATTCCACTGTATTTACATAATTGGATAAGTCTTCGCCCAAAAGTGTTAACAACCGTATGTATCCTCTGACCGTCCCTAGACATAACGACGTCGGCACTTTATAAACAGGTCAGACAGTCTGTCAGCCGGTGTAGCATGAAAAAGTGACCCGCATAGAAAACCTTCCCGGGGGTCATTTTTAGCTCACCTGGCCCGAATCGAAGGGCCAAGTGAGCTTATGCGATGGTGCAGCGTCCGTCGTCCGTCCGTCCGTCCGTCGGCCGTCGTCCGTCGTCCGGTGTCAATATTTTACTTTAAACAACTTCTTCTTAATAACCAAAAGGCCTAGGGTGGTGAAATTTGGCCAGAAGCAAACTAGGATGAAGGGCTACCAAGTTTGTTCAAATAAATGACATTCACCTATTTTCAAGGTCACAGGGGTCAGATATGTTAAAAACTTTAAACAACTTCTTCTGAATAACCAAAATGTCCAGAGTGATGATTTTTGGCTAGTAGCATGCTGGGATGAAGGGCTACCAAGTCTGTTCAAATGAATAACCTTCGTCCATTCTCAAGGTCACAGGGGTCAATTGTCTTAAAAAATCTTTATACAACTTCTTCTGAATAACTAAGAGGCCTACGCTAATGATATTTGGACAGTAACATGCTAGAATGAAGGGCTACCAAGTTTGTTCAAATGAATGACCTTTACTTATATTCAAGGTCACAGGGGTCAAATATGTCAAAAACCTTTAAGCAACTTCTTATCAATAACCAAAAGGCCTAAGATGATGCTATTTGGCCAGTAGCATGCTGGGATGAAGGGCTACCAAGTTTGTTCGAATGAATGACCTTGACTTATATTCAAGGTCACAGGGGTCAAATATATTTAAAACCTTTAAACAACTTCTTCTGAATAACCAAGAGGCTTAGGATAATGATATTTGGCCAGTAGCATGCTGGGATGAAGATGTACCAAATTTGTTCAAATGAATGACCTTTACTTATATTCAAGGTCACAGGGGTCAAATATGTTAAAAACCTTTAAACAACTTCTTCTCAATAACCAAAAAGCCTAGGATGATGCTATTTGGCCAGTAGCATGCTGTGATGAAGGGCTGCCAAGTTTGTTCAAATGAATGACCTTTACATACATTCAAGGTCACAGGGGTCAAATATCAAGGCCAAGGTCGAAAATACCTTAAAATAGAAGTTTACTGAAAAATCTGGTCATCAAGCCAAAGCATAAAAATAAATTTCAATGGATTTTTTTCGGCACAAGTTTGAATAAGACTAGGGTAGGTCAAAAGTTAAGGTCACCGATATCGATACTACAAATGGAAGCTCAACGGATAATGTTGGTATCATTTATGCAACTGTATATTTCAATGTTCACTTTACAGGGATTATTATTTTGTTTGCCTTGTATAAATGTTGAATACTTGCTGACAGAAGCAGTTCAATAAAAAGGAGACATTTCACCATGCACATGTATCACATGAAAAGAAGTGTTTACCATAGGTGGTGGGCACGTCTATCAAAAAAAAAAAATGAATATATAAAACTAGATTTATATATTCAATTTTTTTTTTTTTTTTTTTGATAGACGTGCCCACCACCTATGTGTTAACTAAACTTAATTTAACGAATATTATTGATGAATTTATGACCTTTGAAACGACTGACATGCTAAAATCTCGCATTATGAAAGCTCACAATTAACAACAATACGAACGATCTTTAATTTCAACAATATTGGTTATTTATTACTGTTAAGAGTGAAATAATGACCTGAAAGTCAAGTAGTAAATTAATGGCTGTTTCAGTTATCTTTCAATTAGAGGCTGTCTTGTTACCCAGGGCAGGGAGATATAAATTGTACAGCTGTCAGGGCACCTGGCTTGGTGGCCGTTTACATATGTCAGATAAGCTTAATTGATGACCTCTACGGACAAAGGGAGGCACAACTTTATTTAACGCCTATTTTCATCTGGTTATTGTTTAGTCAATTAATTGTCATGTAAAGGTATATTGAGAGTATCCTGTATGTAACAAGGCAGGTCCATTGTAAGCCTCTGAGCTAGGCACACGTCTACGGTTACCTTCAAGTCTAATACAAAATAGTACCACACGATTGGAGTTTATTGTTTGTACTACAGTATCCGGGAATCTGAGGGTAACAATTACGTTATGACAAGAAGAGTATCTCACAGGCCTTGATGGGTACAGAGAAAGTGTCGGCGAGATAAGAACAGTTTAAAAACACGTTTAAGCCGAAGAAAAAAATGTAAGGAAAACAGCACTCCGTGTGTAATGGCAAGAATCGGGCAATTTGAATGTCATTTATGTTTCCTGATTCATGAAAACACTATCACGTTAAATACTGACGTGCTAAAACATCCTTCAATGCGTTCATGAAACAACATTTCATCCCGTTAATCATCATGTCATCGTGGACTTTTTACGTAATATACCAAATTTGTTTTTACTTCGTCATTTTAAAGCGATCTAGTGTACATTTAATGGAAATGAATTAAACGCAAGTTCTTTAAATACATTGACGGGATGATGGTAAGTAAGTGGCATTGATATGAACAAATTATCTTGTGAAAAACGGCTATGCATATAAACATCATAACACAACCGTGTACTAACAAAACTGTCTTTGCTAGATTTCCATATATGAATAGTGAATTGTAGATTTTCTGATAATATAAACTACAGTATGTGATAAAAATCTTAACACTTGTGTCAACATAATACGAACTGTATTAAACTCGTTCAATAATTTGATATGCCACTAGGCTAAATACTCGTGTTATATGCAATTATTGAACCCGTTTGATACATTCAGTAGTACATTGAAAGTATTACTAGATCATCTTTTTATTGAAATAGTTCAATAGTTGTGTAGGCCTCTTGCCTCTGGGCAATTGACATATCAAATTATTTAAGGTTTCATTATATCTTTAACATCTTAATAAAAGTTATATTGGCACAAATCTAAGATTCGATCATACACATTTCTTTTGTGTGTGAAAAGATAAACAATGTCCTGTAAGACCAAAAGATTTCACTGAATACCTTTCACGGATGTGGCGTCCTTTTGAAGCGGAGACCATGGAATGGCGTCATTGAATATGACGTTACACTAGTGTTTAAGTACGTGTAAAATATGACTTTAACTACTACCTGTTACATAACCAAACATGCGAGTTACATATCTACGTTATAACCAACGTTTTAAAACGTTAGCATTTATAAATTTGTACGACATCTGCTCTCAATCATCTATAATCTAAACTGGGGAGGCCCAGTGTACAAAGTCTTTTACAGTAGGATTGTCCTTTTAAAAATGGCAGGCGTCTTGTTGCTCTGCGTTGGACATTTTCAATGACAATTTGATCCTTTTTAAACATTGGAGACCATATTCCAAATTGGCCGCACTAGACTTTTAAACAATTGGATAAACATGTCTTTGTTTATAAATGTACGTGAATGTCGGAAATATAAACTAAGATGGTAACTAAGTGCGGTTACCAAGGATGGTTACTAATGGTGATTACTAATGACGGTAACTAAGGAAGGTTGATAAGTGTTATAACTAAGAATGATTACTTAGGGTGGTAACTAAGTGTGGTTACTACTAATGACGGTAACTAAGGATGGTTGATAAGTGTTATAACTAAGAATGATTACTTAGGGTGGTAACTAATGGCTGTTACTAAGGATTGTTTAAATTAACCATGTGTCATTAAGAAAAACCTTCTACGAGTGCGAAAAAAGTTCAGTGAAATATAATGTTATAAAGCTTCGTCTATAGTAATCTTGAAACCTTTTTCTGGCTAATAAAAAATACCATAATATGTGCATTAACAATTCAATTAATAACTGCATCCCTGGCTATGGACAGTCGGGTTATAACCGGATCTTTCTTACTGGAGCTTATTTTGACATGGTACCGCCCCGCCAAATAACCTTTGACCTTGTATCCAACATGGCGACCTCCATGCTATTCGGTGTGCGGCTGCCCAGGTAAACAAATGTTGTGGTATTCAAAATATAATGTTAACACAAACATCTGTTCCGATTTAATTAAGCAACTTGATTTATGTCATTGTTAATTGCTCAGTGTAAAATATATCGACGATAGTATTATATTTAAACGTCACTTTTTTGTTTCACATATTGATGTTAGCACAGGCCCGACTTGTAACACGTATTGAAATACTACTTTTTAAATACTGTTCCCTGTATCGCAACCTATATTGTCTAACATCATGTGATACTCACGTACCCTGTGCTCAATGAACATTAACGAGTATGAAGCAATTATGGACGTCTCATGTTATGTTACGTAAACAAAAACATGATTCAGGGGTTTAAAAATTATCAAAAAAACAAAACAGATTTGCTCTATTTATTTTGTTTGGTCACTTTCAGTGGTGCTGTTATGCGCAGATCGTTTCTCATCCAATGCCATACCAGACCAGAACGATGTGGCAAGGGCCTACAAGTGATCCACAGATCCTGGAGTGGTATGTGTACAGTAAAAAAGTTGGAGTAAAAATGCATTGGTCCTGTTGGAAGCCATCTTAGCTAGCCAAGGGTTACAATCCGTTACGATCTACCTACTCTTCTCTTGCTTGAATCAGATGGGACTGATGATGAGTCGGAAATCACGGTCTAAATCTGCCAAGTGTGGAGAGTAGGAAGACTGGATCGTACCGGATCATAACCCTTGGCTAGTGAAGATGGTTTGAAGTGCGCTGGTCCAGCGATCGCCAAAAAAGTAGGTAGGTCTGGGGCATGCTCCCTCCAATATTTTTGAAATCTAGAAGCACTGTGGATCATTCTGGGCTTAAAATAAAGCTTTTCAAATCTGCTGAAATTTTAGATAAATTTACAAAATATCTACTGGTCCGACGGGATTGCTTGTTGAAAAACCTACTGATCCGCCAAGAAAACCACAGGGCATGGGCTCGTAGACCAGCGGTTAATTCCACCCCTGAGTGTAAGTACATTTTAAACACCAATAAATAAAAGAGAAATTATTTTAAATATTTTTTTTTATCACACTGCACCATAAAACAAACGGTTATAGAAATACAAAACTGCGTTTTCTTAAAGCATAAAACATTTCTTCATTTTGTCATTTTGTAAATTGTACTTAATTATAATTAAAAAACTAAGTTGATTTGTAGTTAAATTTGATAACTATCAGTGCTGTTTTATTGTCCAGATATGAAATGACTTGCAAAAAAATTGAGCGCCCCATTTGCCAAGGGATAGTGATTATCAAATTTCACTGAGGTTATACAAGTTCACCAGCCCCTGGCTATCTGGCATTGTAAGAAAGTTCACTGACCCTTGGTTATCCTTCATGGGATATTTCTTTCTTTGTACATTAATATATAGATTATCTTCTTTATTTTTTGCTCTAAGGAAACAAACATTAATTTAGGTTATATGGAATCTATAATATTGTAAAATATTGAGACCCACAACAATCTCACTGAGATCAAATACTAGTTTACTAAAACCCTGAAGGAAGAATGATATATCTCTAAGAAATTTCCTTAGACAAAGTAATATGATGACATTGACGAAAATCTTTGTACAGTGCATATTATTTTTTTGACTTCAGAATCCCAATACAAGCCCAAAAGGAAGGGTTGGTGGCGAACGCCCCTAAGGATCACAGTTGCCTTGGGTATAGGCATTGCTGTTCTTGGTCCCAAAACTGCCAATCAACAAATTGTAAGTGTCAAACATTTTGTCCCAACATATGAATAAGATTATAAATAAAATTTGTTGACAACAAAAAATATTTTTAAATAACGACTTAGACTCTCCAGTACAATAAACTTTGTTAGCTGTATTACACAGCTGACAACTACCAGATGATTTACGGTAGCAAAGGTACACTTTGGATATTCATAGCTCTATAAAGCCAATTATGAGTCTACTCAGTTGTAAATGAGTATGTGGTTGGGCAGTGCTAGAATTGATGAATGCTAGGTGGGAGCGCCAAAATGGCAGCACCGGCTGTATGCTCCCCAGGGAGTTGAGAAAGGTATTGGCTGGTTGCAAAGACCCTATAACCAAGAATAATAAGTTGTGAATTGCTTTGAGGAGACCTACAAACTAGTTTGATTGTGATAAAGCGGTATATAAGAACCTCAAATTATTATTATTATTTATTATACTTATTAAAAGATCATGGGACATGCCTGAAGGGAACCTTAGGATTTAAACATTATTAAGCTGAATGTCAACTACCTTTGTTCTTTGTATATGTCCCTATAAATAAGTTCAGAAAAATTGAAATAAGTATGTGCAAAATATTGGTACAATGAAACATAAGTTTGGTACATGTTTTAGCTTATCTGGCGAAAAGGTGCTGGTTCATGTAGGGTTCTTAAACATAGTATGTTATGTATACATCTGAGGAAAACAATGCATTACATGAAAATATTGTCACTACGATCTGTATTACAGTTGACTTAATTTAGATCATGCACATCCACAAGAACTTCAAACCATTTTTCCTGAGATTTTACTGTGTAAAAACAGTTGCAATTCGACTGCATTATATTTGAAACAGTACTCTAATGATGCCATGCTTGACTACAAAGCTGCACGCCATTTTGAATGGACTACTCAACAAAATTCTACTGCTTTTTGCTATCATTCAATATTGGGTCAAGTGGTCAAGGTGTCTGACATTCCGCTACCACTAGCCCTCCACCACTGAGTCGCGGGTTCGAAACCTACGTGGGTTCGAAACCTGGCCTTAGGTCGGTGGTTTATCTCTGGGAACTCCAGCTTTCCTTCACCACCAAACCTGGCACATCCTTAAATGACCAAAGCTGTTAATAGGACGTAAAACACAAACAAACAAACAAACAAAATCAATATTGGGTGAGATTGTCTTACATAAATGTAATCAATTGTATAGGTAAATAAATTTACACTAAGATCAGTTTTATCAAGTTGCTAGAATTCCATTTGTCAGCGACAAAAATGTAGTAAATAAACGTCTAGTGGAACCTTGTCCTCATATTCCAGGGAGTTGACAAAATTAAACACTTTGTAGTAGGTTATTATGGCCTCTTTTTTTTATCTTTTCATGCCTCCAGGAACGTGTCTACAAAAGGTTGCCTTTGGAAGCATTCTCCAGACTGGTTGGTCGTTTGTCTGAGATTGAGCTGCGGGACTGGTTACGAAAACCATTGCTTGGATTGTATGTACGCTTTTTCCAGGTAGATCTAAGTGAAGCAGCTGATGAGGACCTCACACATTATTCCAGTATTGGTGAATTTTTCCGTCGGCCACTGAAACCTGGTGCACGCCCAGTTGATGAACTTCATGATCTGGTAAGTCATTTCTTCTCGGGGAGTCTTTTTATGTTAAAATATTTTGGATAAAATATGTCAATGTAATATATTTAGAGCAATGTTTTATCACAGGAACACATATATTTGATTTTGAGTGAAGTAGACAGCTTATGAAAAAACCTGGTATCAACCTTCGTCTTGGAATTACTCCTCCTACAAATCAGTGACCTTGACCCACTTTGAAGGCCACAAGAGTTAAATGGACAACTTTTTCTGAATAACCACAATGTCTAGGATCATATTTAGCCTGTAGCATACTCATGTACTGGGATGAAGTGTTACAAAGATTGCTCAAATAAATTACCTTGACCCACTTTCAAGGTAACAGGGATATCCAATGTGTTAAAATCTTTATACAAATTCTTCTAAATAACCATTAGTCAAACAGTTATATGTGGCTAGTAGCATGCTGGGATGAGAAATTATCAAGTTTGTTCCAATCAAATACATTGACTCTGTTTGAAGGTCACATGAGTTAAGTTAAATTAAATCTTCTACCAAACATCTAGAAGGTGTAGAGTAATACAGTCCATAATCTGTAATGAAATTTTAGCCTGTTAAAGTAAATTTACATTGACCCACTTTAATTTGGAGGTCAAAGATTTCAGATGAAAAAAACTAAACAATACATACTCATCAGACCTCTTATTTTAAGTGATATTATTTTCTTTTTTGTCAGACCTGCCCATCAGATGGTAAAATATTACATTTTGGTGAGGTCCAAGATGGAACGCTGGAACAAGTGAAAGGGGTAAGCTATTCTCTCCGGCATTTCCTTGGACATTCGACGTGGATAAATGGTCCATTAACTGAAAATGTACAGTTCTTGTCAGACGAGGAGTACTACCAAACCCTACAAATCCAGCCGGGTAATTCTCTGTACTACTGTATTGTGTACCTGGCTCCTGGTAACTACCACAGGTTCCACTCGGCGGTCGACTGGACCATCACATACAGGAGGCATTTCCCAGGTAAACCATATCCTGTTAATGTGTAACTAATCGCAGGTCAGAAAAGCTGAGTTCAAAATGCTGAAATTTTCCATTTACAATTTTAAGCAATTAAGTGTTATGGATAAGACTTCAGCTTTCTGTCAGCAGCACTCATCAAGAAATCCTTTGATATTGATCTGATTGTGAATAGATTACTTATATTTCATAAGATTTTGTTTATTCATGTATGATGAGAGGAATTTATCTTAGGAACAGTTATTTACACACAATCTACATTTGTTTATTCATGTATGATGAGAACAATTTATCTTAGGAACAGTTATTTACACACAATCTACAGTCATGTTGTTAATTGTTTTACAAATAGGTCACATGAAACTCATCCATGTACAATGTACATAGATATATAAAGGTTATTTTTAGGTCAAAGTCATAGTGCTTAAATAATAATAATAATATACAACATTTATATAGCGCCCTACATAATTCATAAAATTACTCTAAAGCCCTTTACAACATATGGATATTAGTAATGGTTATAATTGTGAAAACGAAAAGTAAAAAAAGGCTTGCAATCACTTTTATACATTTAAGCAAGCAATGTGCACATAATTGAACAAATAAAAGGGTTGTATTTACATAACGTCTTTGCAAAGATTCTAAAATGCAGACGTGAAGAGGTGAGTTTTGATGTCCCTCTTGAACTTTGCCAGGGTATTGGACTTTCTAATTGCAGATGAAACTTACACCACAGTAAATAGAGTTAATAGATATTTCATCTGTTTCCAAAAGCACTTTTCCAATTTCTTAGGTCTGAAGTGTTACACTGATACAAAATGGAAAGAAAAATCTGTAATATTGCTTCTTCAGTCAAATGTTGAATTTGAAAAATGACCACATTAAAAAAACTAACACATCAAACTACAATCCTCAAGGTTTAGTCATGGCGCTGAAATGTTTCGAATATTCTCAGTCAAATGGCTTATATTGAAGGTCACTGTCATAATCATATAACATTGTGTACATGTATTTGATTTAATTAAGGGGAATGTCATTTTCTGATGGTATAACATATACATGTAATTGATAAAAGGTGAAGGTCAAAGTTAGGTGAAGGTCATGGTTATGATGATATCAGGTATACAGTCAAACTTGCATTCAGAGACCACTTTTTGAAAGTCAATAAAGCAGTTCTTATTGCAGAGGATTTTTAAAACAATTTCTATAAGTAAACATAAAAATAATTGTTTTGTATGATTTTGAAAATGGTATCTTAACACAAGTGGTCTCTCAAGAGAGGTGGTCTCTGGAGTAGGTTTGACTAATCGATTTAAGGTCATTACTATTATGATACATATAACTTAACAATAACAAATAAATCTAAGTTTAATTGTATACTGTTTTTACAGGAAGCTTACTGAGCGTCAATCCACGGATAGCTGAGCGTGTGCAGGACCTATTTAATTACAATGAGAGGGTCGTATATTTTGGCACATGGAAACATGGACTCTTTGCCTACATCCCTGTAGGGGCGACAAATGTGGGCTCTATCAAAGTCTACTGTGATAAGGTATGACAAATCTACTTTCAAATATTAGATATATGTTTTAGCACAAATGATATTTTACAGTTTTTAAAAATGCATCCTTGGACATTTTATTAAAAGTGTAATCGTTTCAAAAGGACTCATGCCATTATCTTTTCTATAATATCAGTTGCTATCTAGAATTACCTTGTATCATATAAAAAATGTGTTTCTTTATATTCAAATGGCATTTGTTGTGTCCCTGAGATCCAGGGTATAGTGGTGAGTTTATGTTGGATTATAATACAATGACTGGGACATTCATGTTTATATCAGATAAGTGTTCAGCACCATTGTTAACAGTGGCCATTGTACTCTCACAGACAGTAAATATTTATATACTTTGTCTGTATTTAAGACATTGATTGCTGATGAAGACATTCAGGGCTCTCAGTAGACTCTTGAGAGTATGGTTTGGACTCCACAAATTTGTCTTGGATTCTTTTTTTTAATCTATTTGACTATAGGTACATTGTACATATGCAAATAAAGACAAAATTACCAGTGACTTCAATATATCCATATTAAATGTATTGGTAATTATTTTCCTCATTCGCGATATGCACCTATGTAATGACATGTTTTGAGTTTGGATCTCCAAACTTTAGAAGAAGAAAATGTATTTGACTTCTAAAATTGCTATTAAATGATAAGGATCAAATGAAAGCCCTGATATTGTGCTGATGTGATCAAGACATTGTGCTGAGGTGATCAAGACACTGTGCTAATGTGACAAAGACATTGGCCATGGGCTTATGTGATCAAGACATTGGGCTGATGTGATCAAGACATTGGGCTGATGTGATCAAGACATTGGCCATGGGCTAATGTGATCAAGACATTGTGCTGATGTGTAAGACATTCGGCTGGTTTGATTAAGATATTGTGCAAATTCGATGAAAGTGAATCACTAAGAGGTGTACACAATACTTAATTAGTTTTTCAATTTTTCATCCCAATATTTAACATTCATGATATAAATTTGATTTATAATGACCAGTTCCAAAATCATAGACATTACAGAATGAAGCTAGGACTTCTGTACTATGTCATTGTCATTGAAGATTTTATAGATTGTTAAAATTAAAATACGTCTTTTTTTTTCTCCTTGACAGGACTTAGCCACAAACAGTACTGAGAACAAAGGAATGGAATTCATAGACAAAGTCTACCCTAATGGTGTGAAGGTTAAAAAGGGGGAAATGTTTGGTGAATTCAATATGGGCTCTACTGTTGTGTTGGTGTTTGAGGCACCTAAGGATTTCAAGTTTACATGTGAAAACAGACAACATGTTAAGTGTGGGATAGCCCTTGGAAATGACAGGAGAGTGGACAGTGAAAAAGACCAACAAGAAACAAAATGTTGATACAAGGACTAGTGATGTTAGTAAACACTGTAATCTGTAAACATTCAGGTATTAATGTTGGTGCTCAAAATGACTGATGTGTAACTTCAGGTTATAACAGGTTTGAGTACAGTATCAGTAAATTATTGTTTGATTTTAACATGTATCTCAGGTCTGTTGCTCAATGTGGCTATTTTCCTGGTGATATATTAATATGCATGGATTACTGGCACTCCTACCCCTGTAACCCGAACAATCGGAGAGTTACTTCCCCTGTTAGCAATCAGTTTTTATGATTTTCTGGAGATGTATGCATGTTTACCAGGGGCCTAGTTGTTTATGCAGAACAACCAGTTTGTCTGTTTTTTAATGTAACACTTTCAGGTGCAAATCTGGTGGCCCTGCAAATCCGTATGTAGGCATTGCAAGACTTTGTCAAGGCTCGTCTGAAAACAGCATCAGATTACTTGGTCCGACCTTATTTCATAAACAAACAACTCTGGTCCATCCAGTCCAACCATTTGGATTGCAATAAACGAAAGCAGCCCAGAAATGATGTGTACTTTTTATGTCTACAGAGTTTTGAATGAATGTGAGGTATGTGATATTGAAAGAGTTTTGATTGTGTGTTTTTGATATTTTGGAGTGATGTAGAATGATGTTGCTAGTTATAAAAGATTACATGTTAATAACTGTTCACATGTTAATAAATGTTCACATTGTCAGATATAATTATCTTTTAGTACATTGTATATAATGAAATGATTACACTATTGTCAACAATAGGTCAGCTTCATTATTGTGGGTACCCGTAGTCATTGAGAGGCTCTAATGAGCTGTTAACTCCCTGTTTTTATAATGCTGTTCTCTAGTGTGAAGAGTGAGTGACTCGCCGCAGAATCATAAAACTTTTTAACATGAAGAATATTGTCAATTCGTGTAATCAGATTCATTCTTATGCTACTTTTCCTCAAACATTAATTGAAATAGGAAAATATATACAAATTTACCTGAGGGAATTCGAACCACCTCTTGAATTGAAACGGTGGGTGCTTTGCAGAAAATCTAACCCTATTTATGTGGCAATACAAAATTTTAAAATATTCCAAGTAAGGAACATTGTTAGAGCTGGGGAAAAAATCCATTAAAAGCAGGACCAGATTTTTACCGATTGTTACTAGGTACATCAAGGTGGGGAAGCCATTTAACTTATAAGCATTATACACACTATGCAAAGTACAGCCTTGCATATAAAACTTGAATCATCTCCAGTAATTCCAAGTTAATAGGTTACAGAATATGTGTAAAGTACGCCAAAAATTATCATCATAATAAAATATGTATTTACTGAAAAGATATATGTGTATTCTATGATTGTGCAACGTTCTGTGATATTTGATGAACATTGTGTTTTTAGGAAGCTGTGGTTGCATCACTGACATTAACCAAGAAAGTATAGAAAGCTATATGTAAGACAATTTTATGTCGCGATTTAGCTTCTAATCGGCTACCAAAGACCAAAATCTGGTACTCTAACCGATTCTCCTGTTTTAATCTGTCATGGAAATACTTTCCTCCACAACGAAACACCATACCTGTATTTATTATTTAAACAAGATAAAATATCAATGGTGAAGAATAAATATATATTGAACAATATGTCTGTTTTATCTTTGATACCTAGAAATAAGACTACATCAACATGCCAAGGTAGAATTCTGTACCAATTAGGGAAAAGGTATCAAATCTTTCTGATGTATCCACATCATTTGAAACATTTGTCTTGATGTTTCCAGCTTTTGAACTCTATGTTTTATCCTGCTTGGTCCAAGTTGTTAGAATGAGAATTAAGTCTCAGCTGCTTGAAGATAAAGTCTCAGCTATATCAAGATTAAGTCTCAGCTGTTTGAAGATCAAGTCTCTGCTAAATCAGGATTAAGTCTCAGCTGTTTGAAGATAAAGTCTCAGCTATATCAAGATTAAGTCTCAGCTATTTGAAGATCAAGTCTCCGCTAAATCAGGATTAAGTCTCAGCTTTATCAGGATTAAATCTTGGCTGTTTGAGGATTAAATCTCAGCTGTAAGAGAATTAAGTCTTTGCTGTATGAGAATTAAGTATCCGTTATATGAGGATAAAATCTCAGCTATATGCAGGATTAAATCTCGGCTGTATGAGGAGAAAGTCTCAACTGTATCGGAATTTAGTCTCGACTATATCAGGATTAAGTCTCAGCTGCATGAGGATTAAGTCTCAACTGTATCAGAATTAAATATCAGCTATCTGAAGATTTAATCTTCACTGTTTGAGGATTTAGTCTGGGTTGTAAGGTTATTAATTCTTTTCTGTATAAGGATTAGGTCTCGGCTATATGAGGATTAAAGCCCATGCTAGTCTCGGCTGTAAGAGAATTAAGACTCGGCTGTATCAGAATTTATATCAGCTGTTTGAGGGTTAAGTCTCAGATATATGAAGGATTAAATCTCAGCTTTACCAGGATTAAGTCTCAGCTGTATCAGAATTAAATATCAGCTGTTTGAGGGTTAAATCTCAGCTGTAAGAGAATTAAGTCATTGCTGTATCAGAATTAAATCTCAGCTGTAAGAGAATTAAGTCATTGCTGTATCAGGATTAAGTCTTTGTGTATCAGAATTAAATCTCAGCTGTAAGAGAATTAAGTCATTGCTGTATCAGGATTAAGTCTTTGTGTATCAGAATTAAATCTCAGCTGTAAGAGAATTAAGTCATTGCTGTATCAGGATTAAGTCTTTGTGTATCAGAATTAAATCTCAGCTGTAAGAGAATTAAGTCATTGCTGTATCAGGATTAAGTCTTTGTGTATCAGAATTAAATCTCAGCTGTAAGAGAATTAAGTCATTGCTGTATCAGGATTAAGTCTTTGTGTATCAGAATTAAATCTCAGCTGTAAGAGAATTAAGTCATTGCTGTATCAGGATTAAGTCTTTGTGTATCAGAATTAAATCTCAGCTGTAAGAGAATTAAGTCATTGCTGTATCAGGATTAAGTCTTTGTGTATCAGAATTAAATCTCAGCTGTAAGAGAATTAAGTCATTGCTGTATCAGGATTAAGTCTTTGTGTATCAGAATTAAATCTCAGCTGTAAGAGAATTAAGTCATTGCTGTATCAGGATTAAGTCTTTGTGTATCAGAATTAAATCTCAGCTGTAAGAGAATTAAGTCATTGCTGTATCAGGATTAAGTCTTTGTGTATCAGAATTAAATCTCAGCTGTAAGAGAATTAAGTCATTGCTGTATCAGGATTAAGTCTTTGTGTATCAGAATTAAATCTCAGCTGTAAGAGAATTAAGTCATTGCTGTATCAGGATTAAGTCTTTGTGTATCAGAATTAAATCTCAGCTGTAAGAGAATTAAGTCATTGCTGTATCAGGATTAAGTCTTTGTGTATCAGAATTAAATCTCAGCTGTAAGAGAATTAAGTCATTGCTGTATCAGGATTAAGTCTTTGTGTATCAGAATTAAATCTCAGCTGTAAGAGAATTAAGTCATTGCTGTATCAGGATTAAGTCTTTGTGTATCAGAATTAAATCTCAGCTGTAAGAGAATTAAGTCATTGCTGTATCAGGATTAAGTCTTTGTGTATCAGAATTAAATCTCAGCTGTAAGAGAATTAAGTCATTGCTGTATCAGGATTAAGTCTTTGTGTATCAGAATTAAATCTCAGCTGTAAGAGAATTAAGTCATTGCTGTATCAGGATTAAGTCTTTGTGTATCAGAATTAAATCTCAGCTGTAAGAGAATTAAGTCATTGCTGTATCAGGATTAAGTCTTTGTGTATCAGAATTAAATCTCAGCTGTATGAGGATTAAGTCTTGGATATGCAGGATTAAATCTCAGCTGTATGAGGATTAAGTCTCAGATATATCAGAATTAAATATCAGCTGTATCGGGATTAAGTCTTTGTGTATCAGAATTAAGTCTCGCATGTATTAGGATTAAGTCCTGGCTGTATAAGGATTAGTCTTTGTTGAATAAGCATGTCTTAGGCTGTATGAAAAAAAAATCTAAGCTAAATGAGGATAAGGTCTAAGCTATATATATATATAAAGGATTATAGCCTGGGTTGCTCGAGCATAAATCACTTACAAAACTGTTCATTAATTTATGATGATAAATCAACTTGATATTAAATGTTTCATGAAAAATTAACATTAATGATTGATCGATCCACTCTTTAGATTTTGAAATATTGACCCCTTTTCCCTCGGTAAAGTCCTGTCCATCTGTCGCCAAGGTTGAGGGAAGTGAGGTATATCATGTGGGATGTTTCATACCAAGGTATATCATGTGGGATGTTTCATACCAAGGTATATCATGTGGGATGTTTCATACCAAACTAACTTAAAACAATAAATTTACCCATCCTGCTGTATTGAATATTTATCCAGATTTGGTCTCGTTCCTATATATGTATATCAACTGGTGCATTTGTATTGTTCACTCTGGGGATCACCATTTTAATTTGATTAAAACAAAGGTGAATACCCTCGGCCCAAGCATGGTTATTACCAAATTAAGTGGAAATTCAGTCAGCATTGGACAGATTGACATTGCACCATGGCATTAGCTCATAATCACTTGGCCTTGACTCAAAAAGAGTTAAAATTGAATGCAAATTGTTAAAAAAATAATGTAATCATCAAATGGATTATGAAATAATATTTTACTGGGATGATCTATACATGTGTATAAATATATAGAGCATAAACACAATAAAACAGACTATAGCTAAAACAATGACTAAAACATTCCTCACTGAACATTAGCATTTAAAACGAAACTTCCTGCACCTGGTACACGTGTCTCAATAGAGATAATGTGTCTAATATACAGAGTAGTTACCAACCCTACAGAGTAGCTACAATCTCTCCATCAACACCACTGACCATTGACAGAGGGGCGATATTAGACCTCTCTAAAATGTTGCTCCATCACCACTGTATTGCATCACTTGTCATATGACATCATAATTGTCATAATGCGATCAACTTTGTGACATAAACTTGCATCTAAGATTTATGTGATGTCTCATAAAGTATATGCTAGAACTCAGTTTTAGATATTACATTTTTCTCCGATACTACGAAAAGTCTGACTTCAGTCTTACATGATAAAAACACCCTCAGATTGGTCTCCATTTGAGACTTACTTTACTAACTCGTAGCTCTCTTAAGTAAATTCTTCAAATTGATCAAAAGAAATAAATATGAAAAAGTGTGCAGTAGTAAATCTATCACTGATATCAAGTTTGTTGTATATATTGCAACAAAAGTGTCAAAATTAAAACATTAACCTACAGTACAAGTACTTAGGCTTGGCTGTTTAAAATTGAACCAAAAATATATACATGCCCGTGTTTCGACTTTGATGGAAGTGGATGAATGCAAAGTTTAATCAAAGTCAGTGGAGCTGTATCCATGTATGAAAACTGCTGACTTGCAAAACGCAAAGTTGTACAAAACAAAACAATAGGAATAGACTTGCTGGGCATAAAAATAAAACAAAAATTAAAATACACCTAGGAATATTATAAAATGAATGTGTATTGCATACAGAACAAAACCATTTTCCTGATACCTACATATACATATTGTACAGTTGTAATTAAATCTGAAGTCAGAAACAAATCTGTCCTAAACTTAAAAGTTGTATGCAAACTATATTATACATTAGCTTTGTTTAAGAGTTATCTCCTCCTATTTTTTTTAACAAAGTCCATTTTAAGATATTTTTCAGGTTAATTGTATAGGAATACATCACTAAAATGTAATTGATGTATGTTTAGAGTTCACCTTTATTTTCAGTATTTTATATAATTACTTAACATTTTGTAATGATTTGAAATCTACCAGTGTACCTCGCATTGCCCATGGGTGCATATATATTGTTCTCTATGTAAATGATCAGATACCACACAAAGGTAAGATATGGTCTCTCCTGCTGGATATCTTTTGGCACATTCTTGGTATCTTTTCATAAAACCAAACATGATCAACTACACTCACACTTCCCTGACACAAAATTTTGTATGGGAAATTAACATATTATATATAATTATCTCCCAGCAAAAAATATCAAACTCTGCAGTAAACTTGAAATGATTAATGATGTTCAGTATAAACCACACAGCACAAACAGAGCATTACAGAGATACATGTATTCCACTATGAAACAAACTTAGCATACATCAGATAGCACAAACATAATTTCTCTCAGGTACATGTATACCAAATTAGCAGAAATACTTGGAAACATTGTACAGTTACAGTTTACATATCAAGACTAAAATATCTACCACTAATCACCGACTTTGCAATATTCTGTGTCACACTCACAAAAACAATAAACAGTTTAAATATGTATAGGTTCTGGGTTAATCATCATCTTCTAAAACAGCTTCCATTTTTGCCAACTTTTTCTTAACAGCAAGATCAGATAACATTTTCCTTCTACGTTGTCGTGGGTCCATCCCATTTTTGACGGCTTTTCGGAGCCTCATTTTGGTTTTAGCAGGAGGTACAATCAGACCTTCATCAAACATGATGGCCCGACGAAACCTTTTCTTACTGAACAGTTGTTCCTCTGCAGGGGTCTCATAGATTGTTTCCCAGATTTTTGGGGCAGGTCTCTTGAAGTTTTTATTTTTGTAAATATCCTCAACTGAAGGCTCATTTTTTGTAAGTTTCCTTTTTCGAGCAATCTTTGTGGTAGAGTCTTGATTGTTTCTAGTATTTCCATGGTTACTGCTGACATCCTGTAACACAGCTGCCGTTTGTTTAGATTCCTCGACTGTTTCTAGCGGTGACATGGGAACATCCTCCTCAGCTGTATTGGCAGTCTGAATCTGTCTGTATATTTCTATGGATCGCCTCTGGATGCGCGAACTCTTTCTTTTTGGTCTCTCCAGTAGTTCCAGATCCTCAAGCTCAGCTACTAATGGATCTTTGACTATTGTCTGAACATCCGTCATCCCAGACTCTTCCTTTTGTGAGACATTAACTTCCTGTTCCTTAGTCCAAGAGACAGATTTGTCCACTGAGAAAAGATTTTTATCAGCTGCCTCTATATATGCAGCTTTTGTCTGCATCTGTACACGCCCATCAACAGATTTTCTTGGCCTTCCTCGTTTCTTGGGTGGCGGAACAATTACTGGCTCCATATCTTCTATTCCCAAATATTCATCTAATGATTTCAGATCTTCAGCAGTTAGCACTTTGATATTGTCAATACTTTTCTGTTTACAGTCAGATGTTTCATTTTGTAAGCTTGCAGAATCCTCCCCGGTTTTGTTGTTGACCAGTTGTGGTAATGAAGTCTTCTGAAGCTCTGCACCTGGCTGTGAGGACAGGAGAACATTAGACACCTCCTCAACTACAACTGGAGGTATCAAGCTCATTGATTTTCGGGAGCGACTTCTTTTCTTAACTACACTTACTGATGGTAAAGGATCAATTTCTACACATGACGGAATAGGTTCACCACTCAGGGCAGTTGTCTTGTCCGACACCTTTTTCGATTTTTTTGGGTGACCGCTTTTCTTAACCTCATTTACTGATGGCAAGGAAGACATCAGATCACTTTCTACACATGGTGGAATAGGTTCACAACCTGCAGAAGATTTAAACTCGCCCGACACATTTGCTGATTCTGATTCTTTCTGTTTAATTCCACTGTCAGTATGACTGTCTTTAGGTACAACATGGATGCAAGTGTCCATGTCAAAAACTGTATTCAAACTGAGCTTGTTTACACTCTCAGATAATTCACATCCGGGTGACTCTTGACTGACAAGCCCCATAGACTTTCTCCCAGTCCTTTTCTGTTTTGCTTTAACTTTTCTCACTTTATCAGGATCTGCCCTGGAAGTAATGTCTACAGTGTCGAGATTTTCCACAACAGTGCTGAGTTCAGCAGATTCTAAGGAAATGCTTTTGGCCACATGATGTCCATTTTGTGTACCTGACTCTGCTGTGTATTTATTGTGGGTTTCCTGTATGGGTTCAGAATCAAGGTAATCAAAGCAGACCTCCAAATGTTGTGCGATTGCTTCGTCAGAACATTTCGGAGCCTGGCTTTGCGAAATTGTACGCATAGCAGGTCTGTTTGAAACTTGAATGACTTCAGCATCCTCAGAATCACTCTTCGCAGCTTCACTGGTTGTGTCAATGTCTGTTGTTGAACACAACTCATGATTTGTTTGAGTATCAGATGTGTTGGTCAGTTTTTCACCGTTGGTCGTTACTACCTCTGGCACTGGTACAAGTTCACTGTCCTGTACAGGCCTACTGGATCCTGGTTTTTCACTCGCACAAAAACATGTGTCATCTACTTTGTCCTGTGACAAAGGCAAAGAAGGTTTCATTGAATCTGAAAAATGTAATGTCTGACCAGACTTCCTCTCATAAGAAAATGCACTTGACAGATTTGTTCCATCTGTAAGACTGAGCAGGTTTGAGTTGACAGGTGTGGAGACCTTTATCCCTGTATCGGAGTTGTCAACAGTTGAGACTGTAACCACTGAACCCAAGTTTTTTCCTGAAGAGTTCATCATCACTTCTGCAATTTCATTTGAAGTATTTGTAGGTTTTATTGAGGTAAATGAACCGTCTGATGAGGACATTGTATTGCTCCGTTCGTTATCTGGACTATTTCTGACAGCATTTGCTAGCTTTCCAGCTAGTGACCTACATATGGAGAGAAAACCTGATGTCTGTTGTTTGGATGGAACTTCAGAGCTTGATTTAGAATTTGACCTTGATGATTTTTTCTGGGTGGACTTTAAGGCCTTGGTCTTTATATTAGTAACTGTACCTGGTGTTACACCAACATGCCCATCAGTCTCGGGCACTATGGTTTTCTTACAGGTTTTCCAAACATCTTCATCATCATTACCTGCATCCAGGTTGACCTTTGACCTTGTTATCTTGTCTGATGGTGTCAAATAAACTGGTGAAAAGGTTGAGTTCGGGCTTTCACAGTTTGGTGGTGAAATATTCTTGAAAATGGGTTGAGATGGAGAATATGGTGTCAAACTAGAGATCAGATCTGATGCCACTCCACTTTTTTTATCAACTGGGGTCATTCTAGAGGTCAAGTCTTGTGTAGTTCCTAGCAATGTTCTATTCTCTTCTACCAGAGATAATACCATTTGACCACTTCCACGATTCTGTGTGGAACTTTCTGTAGAATTTATTCTGCTAACTTTACACGAGTCAGATGAATCCTGAGTTTGCTGAGGACCTGAGTTGAAATATTGAAATGTCTTGCCACCAACATTGTAGTCACGGGCCTCGAAACATGGAGATAAACTCGCAGTGCTATTGTCACTTGGTAAGTATTCGGAAAAAGAATTGCCAGCAGAACTACAGTCATTCTCCTGCTGCTGATTAAATCTCAAATCTATGTGTCCAGACCCTGAGGTTCCACTTGTGTCCACTAGAGGACTCTGTGTCACAATGTAACTGCCTGAAAGGCGACTACCCATACCATTAGTCTCTATACTGTCACTCATGTCCCCCGTCCTAGACAGTTCTACACTCAGATGGTGATCATTCATGTTCAAGTCAGTGTCAACGTCAGTGAGAACAGAGGGAGAATCTATTCCATCAATGACAGACACCATCGGGAGGTGAACACAAGATTTTCGTCGGTTTCTCCGGATCACCAATTCTGCCATTTCTGGTGAGTCTGTGTCCATCCATACACTGCCAAACTGGTTCCCAGAGGCCTGAAAGTACAACGCGCCATTCATGACTTAAATTCAGACGACATAATGTATGCTGTACATGTTTATCATTTATTTTTCTGTTCATAGAAGAGAACAGAGGGAAAGAGGGTGAAGACATCCAATATTTTGTACTAATAAATATTTTGTTAAATTGAAACTTTCTCAAAAACTGATTGATATGTTTTATCCTTTTAAATATCATGATCATGAGCAATGGCCACTTGACATATAGACATCAACAAATTGTCCAAAACCTAGGGTCAAACAAGTCTGCAGCTGATACAACTAAGCAACATTTTATTCTCTCAAAATTTATATTTTTCTTTCTATTTTTTATGGTGGCTTAACAGACCTCAAACAGTTTATATCTGTCAAGGTGACTGTTCAACATATTAAGCACACAAACAGAACTGTTCCTGAAGCCTTAAGGGTTAATGATATTTTAAAGAGACATGATAGTTTTGTAAACGAGTAAAGCATAATTCCCTTTTAAGAATTCAGATATTTTTCACTTTTTATTTTTATTTTTAATCCTGGTTCAGCATCTAAATTATAAGAAACCAGTATGGCAGGTTAATCTACAGTAAACGACTCAAAATAATGGTAAAGATATTTTTGTAGTGCCCTTCATCAATTCACAGACAAAACCAGTGTTCCCCCGTGGATTTTTGTTTTGGGGATATAATTTATAGATTTTGAAGATTCTGTGCCAATAGGTACCCACCATATACATGTAGGACAGTGCTTGTGTATGGGGGTCCAGCCAACCCTTTTTGGTGTGGGTGCCGGTTAGGTTGGGGGAGGAAAAACATCTTTATAGGGAGGGTTTTGGGGTACACCGAAATCTCATTGATCATGATCATGTAGTCATTTCTTTTTGGAAAATGGAACTCAGAATTTGAAGGCAGTGGTTTGTCTGAAATGCCTACAAGGTACTTCGATTTTAGCAATATTTTTAATGTATCCTACAAATTTTTAAACAAGTTAAATTTAGAAATTTTCCTGCTAGTATCTGTTTTTCAAAAATATTCCCAGAGGCTTGAATTTGCCATAAATGCTTCATATATATATACATACATTCAATGTTGATCATAAACAATATACATGTAACAACACTATCCTACGGTAAAAAATATCAGTTTTTACCTGCAAATTATTCTCTTCACAAATTTGCCCCACATCACTAGCCAGAGCAGAAATGTTGACATCCTGACTGTGACTTTCTACAGGAAGTATATCATCTGTTTTGTCTTCATCACAGACTGGCCCAAAGCCAAGCAGGTGTGACTTCCTTCGGATGCGAATAGATCTCCGCTTCTTTGACTTGGTTGCTTGTTTTGTCCCTGGAGTTTCTAACAAGTCCAGTTCCATGATTGGTGAGAGCTGTCAAATCTGAAATTAGAAGTTAATGTCATTTCTTCAATTTCAAAAAACAACACAATGCATTTACTTTTGAAAATGTTGAAAATGCTGATAAAAGGTTTTTAACTACAAAGAAAAAAAACTTAAAGAACATGATTAGGAAAATTGATAGATTTAGCATTTTTCAAAGTTAGTATGCGTCTTGGTTTGTTATAAAAGTGATATAATGTACTATCATAAATGACCAAATCAAAATGTTTCAAACAATATTATAAGTAACTAGGGTTTTATTAGGGAGTTTTGGGAAACAGACCCGGGGATCGATGAAATTGGGGAAAAAGCTGTTGCTGCATGTAAGAACCATTTTGGGAAATTACTATCATAACTTGGAACACTAAAATAGACTATTTATTTACATAATTAGCCAATCTTTATAATGGCATGATCATTCTGTCCTTACTATGTATACGTTATCATACAGGTACACTGAAAAATCTGTCAATCCTGAGGGATTTATTGAAAATGATGTAACAATTTTTTTATTTTTATATTTTGGTTGTTTTTGTTTTCCAAACAGGTCAGCAAGATGATACGCTGGGAAAGGCAATGGTAATTTAAGTTGACACTACAGTTGGGACCTGGATGACTTAACTGTTCAGAGAAAAATACATAAAATTAAAAATGACTTGCTATATATATATAGATTTCAGTGCTGTCACAGCTAAATTTATAATCCCCATACATGTTCCTGCCAATCAGCCAAAGATTTATATATCTGACTGTTTTTTTTTAAATTAGCCGTGGATTTAACAGTGAAAATAGTTTGTTTGTTTTTTAAATGTTAGTAGGTATATATATCGAACTCGCGATATCTATACATTGTCGACAACAAACATAGCTCTAAAAAAAATTTATTATGACGCCGCTATGGCAACAAATGCTGTTTTTGTGACAAAGAAAAACCTACAGGGCCCACTTGTATAAAACATCTTAAAGTTAAGGAAAATCTCAAGCAATGTATTGTCTATGGGAAATCTTAGACTTGGGGAAATCTCAAGGGTTGAGATGTTTTATACAAGTGGGCCCAGGGGAACAACCGTGCCATCAGAGGGATAACTTATATAATTAGAACCCTATCAGACAAGCACCAGTACCTTTGTACCTCTCCATTTAAAACATTCTAGGGAGGAGGTGGTCAATGTTCTTACTCGACGTCCAACGTTAATGAGCACAAAAATATAATATAACTTGTATACAGTATATATATAGACAGTCCTTTGAATATTCAAGGTAAAAAAGTGTAGCAGAACTGGATAGGGAAAACCATCGTTTAGATAGCTCAATTGGTAGAGTGTCTGTCTAGAGTTTGTAGGGTCACGGGTACAAACCCCGGTCAGGACGTGCTCTTTATTGCTCATATAGGAATGTTATACATTAGTTTCAAACAAAGTTGTGAACAGGACAGGGTTGTCTCACCAAAATGATTTTAACACAATGTGTACTGTGATCATGAACACTCAACACTGCAATGTTATAAGCTAAATCAATCCGACCAAAGGATCTAGCTATATATATATAGTCTGACGTTTTATCAATATAACAATCTGTATATATAAAAAATGCCCCTTATACTATGAAAAATACGAAGGTGGTAAGATTTTGTTGTCAGCAACTCATTTCATTCCTGGTGTTGTAACGTGCAGACGGTCACCCTCCAACTTCTGACCACATGTACACTCGCCATTGCTGAACTAGTGAGCAGGTCTTCGGTTATACTGCATCACTTGAAAAGCTAGCTTGCCATTAAGGCCAGTATTTCCCCCTCAAATTCCTTAGTTGTTACACTATTCCCCCTCCAAGAAGTCTCGCCAGAGACCTGGCCTGAAGAATCCTGCGAGTATTCCCTGTGTACCAATGCACATTCCTTAACCACCGTGAGCTCAGACCATGGCCTTACATGATCACAGTCAATATGCTGCCACCAAATGTAACGTGCGGGCGGTCACCCATCCAACTACTGTCATGACCACGCTCGACGTTGCAGAACTAGAGAGCAGTTCCCCAGATTATACCGCATCTGCCATCACTGGAAAAGCTAGTTTGCCTTGCCAGTAAGGCTACGTTTCCCCTCAATTTCCTTAGCTGTTATACAGTGTTTTTTATTGTATGTTTTATATACAGATTGTTATAGTTGTATTGATAAAACGTCAGACTCCTTGCATCCGACATTGATAAATGGATGGCTTTGTAGGGTTAGAATACTGTATGAGACACGTGTGTTATCAACTGGACGCATGTGTTCGCTGTCAGAACTGGGTCGGTTCGATTGACTGTTTCCTCAAATTCCTGTCAATGTAACTAATTAGTACTAATGTGACTGTAAAGCTAATTGGTTTCTTACACATTGCTTGATTTTAACACATGTTGTCGAAGCTACAATCAATAAAATGTTTCAGAAATTTCATACCAATCTGAAAATAATCACAGCATCTTCATCAAGCATGATTTCCGCATTTGAAATCTCCCACAAATAGGTAGCCAATGACTTGCCCCGAAATACCGGCGCATGCGCAATAAAAACTGGAAGTGAAAGTACATGTTACTAGGCTAAAGTTTCAACTTAATCTTCAAACGAATCATTTTAAATCCCATATGGATAATGTCCGAGGTAACCAAATCAACTTTAACTATTTTCCGACTTGTGTATTGAAATACAATACAAGGGTTATGTGCTGATATGAAGATTGAGTCTCAGGCCTAGGAACAATAGTAAAACGATGATGAAAAATCTTAATTGACTTGATCAACCAAGCCCACCATTGAAAATAAATATTGATCTTGTTCAAGCTTATTATTATCATTTTATAGTTTAAAAAACCGGATAATGACGGTTTTGGAGATTGAAAAGTGAGCAGTTAAAACTCCGCGTCTAGAACAGAAGAATATTCGATATATTATTTTCTAATACATACGTTGTAGTATATACGTCTCTGGTTACACACGTTAATTGTGCTTTACTAGTTTGTTGAATTATTGTACAAGTCTCAAGATTCACACGGCGCATTCAGTGAAATTGTTATTTGACGTTTTGATGAATTTAGTACGATAGTTACTTTGATGTACATGTACAATGCCATAAAAGTTGGAAACACAAATGGTATACTTATACATTTACAAATTATAATGTGTACCACATTCTAGATTTGTTTTAATGTGATCGTGTGACTTAAAAGAATACTAACACAAATTATTATTCCAATCACAACGTTAGTGTTAATAAAAAAAAAAACCATTACGATATGGTATCGAAACTCACTACAAAGTAATGATATTAAACTAATATACGGCGTATTAAGTAATACTTCACACTCCGCACAGACAAATGCAACATGACGCACATGGGAAGCACAAACTATAAATTGCACTCTCGCCTTATTACATTTATGTAGTTTCCGCTAGAGGAATGTCCCTTTATCTCAACGGAATACTAATAGAGTGCCGATGAAAAAGTCTGGATTTGAGGGCTCGATTCCCAGCGACCGAATCCTATCGAAGTTTTTTTCACTACTTCACTTTCGCTCGCTGCACCCCTGGAATGTGTCATAGCAAAATTGAAGGCTCCGCGGGTGCCACCTTGTTGATGAGACAAGAAGACTAGTTCCATCCTTAGCCAGTGAAAACAACCCCGCCAGTATATTCCTGGAAAGTATCCGTGACAAGTTCCCCCATCAACATGTTCTCCAACCAACACGATATCGAGAAAACCAAACCCCCTCTACACTAGACCTGATATTCACCAACGAAGAGGAAATGGTACAGGGCATATTATACATGGAAGGACTAGGGACAAGCGACCATTTAGGACTTCAATTCAAGCTCATTTGTTTATTCTGACCCACAGAACGACCATAAGAACAAACCTAAAAATAACTTTTTCAAAGGCGACTATGCAGGTATCAACCGGTTCTTAGCCAACATAGATTGGAACATTTTAGAAGAAACTCAAGGAGTAGAGGAATCCTGGAAGAACCTTACTGTTTTTCTCCAAAAAAGTATTGACAAATATGTTCCAGTGAGTAAGGGACAATATTCAAGAAAATTCCGCAATCCAGAGTTGAGTCTTGAGGCTAAACAAGCGATAACTGTTAAAAGGCGCCAATGGATTAAATATCTGCACTGCAAAACCGTCCAGAACTTCCTAACTTACCAACAAACTAGAAACATAGCCACCTAAAAAGTTCGGAAGTCCAAATACCATTTCGAAGAAGACCTATAGCACTAAAAGTCAAAACAAACCCAAAACTTTTCTGCACTCACTTAAGATAAAAAACTAAGGTCAAATCAAATATTGGAAGAATTAAAAAACCAAATGGGGAAATAACTACTGATGACAGATACACATCAAATATTATAAATAACTTCTTCGCAAGTGTTTTTGTTAGAGATCAAGATCTACCACTACCACCCTTTCCAAAGAGAAACTACCAAGATCCGCTATCAGATATCATCACCACAGAGGACTCTGTTCTTAAAGCCATCAAACGGATTAACCCAACAAAATCACCAGGACCTGATGGTATACATCCAAAACTCATTTTTGAAACTGCAGAGGCCTTAAAAAAACATCTACAAATCACCTTTCAGAAATCATTTGACACATCCCAACTGCCAACACCATGGAAAGAGGCAACAGTGACACCAGCCTACAAGAAAGGACCAAAAAAAGACCCCGGTAACTACAGGCCAATAAGTTTAACGTCAGTACCATCCAAAATAATGCAACGTTTAATAAGGGACGAAATCCTAACCCACATGGACATAAATAACTTATTCACACCAGACCAACATGGGTTCAGACCGGGGAAATCCTGTTCTACCCAACTATTAGAATCCCTGGAAAACTGGCATAAAGGACTGGAACCGGTGATAACATAGATGTTATATATCTGGACTTCAGTAAAGCTTTTGACAAGGTCTCACACCGTTTCCTGGTTCACAAGTTAGAAAAGTATGGAATTGAGGGAAAAGTTTTAAAATGGATAAAAGCCTTCCTGGAAAATACGATACAAAGAGTGACGATCAATGGTACAACATCAAATCCGAAACCAGTCACAACTGGAGTCCCTCAAGGGAGTGTTTTAGGACCAATACTGTTCCTGATCTATGTTAACGACATGCCTGATATGTTAAGCTGTACGATCAAACTATTTGCCGATGACACAAAACTCTCTGCAAAAAATGTAACATTAGCAGACCGCCAAAATCCACAGGACAACATAAATCATATGTGTGATTGGACCAAAACCTGGCTCATGCAACTTAACACCACAAAGTGCAAACATCTTGAGCTCAGACAGAGACAAGGTGACCATATATACACACCATAACTCAAGATGAAAAAGAATCTCCAATCGCAGGAGTAGAATACGAGAAAGACCTAGGTGTCCATATAGACAACCAGCTTAAATTCTCAATCAATACCAACTTAGCTGCATCAAAAGCAAATAGTATGCTGGGAATAGTATTCCGGACCTTTATATACATGAGCCCTGTAATGTTCCTAACTCTATACAAAACGCTGATTAGACCTCATCTGCATGGAATACTCGACAACAGTTACATCACCATTTTTGATCCGAGACAAAATTACAATCGAGAACATCCAAAGAAGAGCGACCAAAAGGATTCCAACTCTTAAAAACGTACCATACGAAGAACGCCTAAGACAACTCGGACTCAATACTCTCGAATATAGAAGACATCGAGCTGATGTAATTCAAACCTACAAAATACTAAACAACATGGACATTCTTGACAAGGGCAAACTATTTCATGAAACTGAAGACAACCGAACCAGAGGGCACTCCAGGAAACTTTTCAAAAGACCATGCAGACTAAACAAATATGGGAATTTCTACAGCAACCGAGTGATAAATCTGTGGAACTCTCTAACAGAGGAGGTAGTAATCTCTCCAACGCTCAACACCTTCAAGTCACGGCTCAACAGCCACTGGAAAATTCACACGACAAAATTCAAGCCATCTTTTTGTTAGTTACATATATATTTGCAAGTCTAACCAGTCAAAAGTGAACAATGTAACAAATTGACTGTTTGGCACTGACCATGCTTTTAAAAATCACATGTTTTAACCATCATATTTTAAAAGGAGAGGAATCAACAGTGGGAGCTGAATACTCCAACCCTACCAGATAAAGAAATGAACCTGTAAATGTAAATAACTATAAATATAGCAACCAGAAGTCTAATTAGTACGTGTGTGTACAGCATACATTAGAAGAAAGGATCATCATACATCACCACAAGCTACTAGTAAGCTTACAACGATGTCATCTGAGCGAGACTGAGCGAATCCTTTGATGTACATCAAAAGAATCTCGCGGTCACGTAACGGTAAATATTGACAGGCTTTGAAGTCGGGATTTTCTCCTTCGTAATCTTCAAAAGACAGGTATCAGCCAAGCGAATGGTCAGTTGTTTTTTACCTGAGACCAATCAAACAGCTATCTTCGTGCCTTCAATTTTTCTATGACATATTCCAGGGGTGCAGAGAGCGAAAGTGAGCGTAACCCCTGGATATCGAGGATGCATTAGGCCTAGGAGCCGTCTTACAAAAACTAAACTTATACAGTAAATACATATAGGACAGACGGCTCCTTCTCTTCTGTCTCCCTCTTCTATCCCTTCACTCCATACTTTATCCCTTCTACTTATTTTCCCGCCTTTTCTTCGTCTGCTGGATAATCGAACTATTCGGTAGTGAAGCGGACGTAAAACCTATCAATCAATTACAATCAACAGAAGATGGGTCAGAAAGAAGACAACGCCTCAGACTGGGTCATATCAAAATCATTAAAATGATAGTTGGTATTCCTTGCCAAACGTTCTGCATTTTGTATAATAGTAAAAACCTGTTAAGCTGTTGTCAGTATAATGTGACCGGGTTTAATACTATACTGGATATATGCGTACCTTATGAATGTTATTTCAGTAAGATGGCACTATAAAGTCGGCATTAGCCTCCGCGCTGTTCCACGACAGAATCGTCAAATACATCTCCATCACGAAGACGTGCATCAAACACACAGACATAGAAATTGTAGCATCTGTAGCATCTCAATTCGACACCAGTTAGAAACATTTGTCGCAAATACGGGCCTTCCTCTCACTTACACTAATGGCATCATGTACATGGTCAGCGGACCTCCGGACAGTAGAGCTTATTTCTCAGTTTAAGTTCAAGTGTATATTGAAAACAATACAAGTCTACAAGTAGAATTTGTGCACAGTAAATAAAAGCAAAAATCTTATTTTTTGTTAATCGTGCCTTATGTTTCTGTTTTGTTTATTTTTTTCGAAGACTTTAAAGAGAACTGCCCGATGTTATCCAGGGACGATTAGGATTATCATACGTTCTGAGCGAGATCACTGAAGTCACAATCTGCCTTACTGACTGTTCAGAAAACATGCGCTTTTTTGAAATCGTTATTTAAACAAATCATCAGTATATTTATGGGAGGTTTCCCAAACTATCGCCGGACATGTGGATCATGAGCTGATTTTAACGAGACTTTGGATTGTTAATAAAATGTTGATATGTCACCATGCATTTTTTTTACTACGCATTACTTCTATTTTATGGCAATTGTCTTATCAAATGATATCTAAGAGATTTAACTATGAAAAACAAATGTTATTTCGTTTCATTTGGTAAGTGGTTATACGAATACTGTCCGTTGTATTATGTACCACATGAACTTGAATACCTCGGATCATTAATGAGCACTCGTTCACTCATCACACAGCATAATTGATGTGTCAGTGACGACGGCAAAATCAGGACGGAAGGGCTAAACCAACAGATGCTTAGTCAGATATCAATTTACGTACTCTGCAGTATAGGGAATGGACTTTTGATAATTTATGTCAACATTCTTTTGTTTTTATTAGTATTAAAAATGTCTATATTTCAGTTCTAAAAACTTCTTATCAATAATAACACATGAAAATAGAACATCCATAAAGCTGAGATTTCTGGACTTCCCAAAATGACAGTTCTGGACTTCCAAAAATGACGGTTCTGGACTTCCCCAAAATGACGGTTCTGGACTTTCCGAAATGACAGTTCTGACATCCCCAAAATGACGGTTCTGGACTCGCCAAAATGACGGTTCTGGACTTCCCCAAAATGACGGTTATGGACTCCCCTAAATGACGGTTCTGGACTTCCCCAAATGACGGTTCTGGACTTCCCCAAAATGACGGTTCTGACCTTCCCCAAAATGACGGTTCTGGACTCCCCTAAGTGACGGTTCTGGACTTCCCAAAATGACGTTTCTGGCCTTCCCCAAATGATGGTTCTGGACTTCCCCAAAATGACGGTTCTGGACCCCCCTAAATGACGGTTCTGGACTTCCCCAAATGACGGTTCTGGACTTCCCCAAAATGACGGTTCTGGACTCCCCTAAATGACGGTTCTGGACTTCCCAAAATGACGTTTCTGGACTTCCCCAAATGATGGTTCTGGACTTCCCCAAAATGACGGTTCTGGACTTCCCCAAAATGACGGTTCTGGACTCCCCTAAATGACGGTTCTGGACTTCCCCAAATTGACGGTTCTGGACTTCGCCAAAATGACGGTTCTGGACTTCCCCAAAATGACGGTTCTGGACTTCCCCAAAATGACGGTTCTGGACTTCCCAAAATGACGGTTCTGGACTTCCCCAAAATGACGGTTCTGGACATCCCCAAAATGACGGTTCTGGACTTCCCATAATGACAGTTCTGACATCCCCAAAATGACGGTTCTGGACTCGCCAAAATGACGGTTCTGGACTTCCCCAAAATGACGGTTCTGGACTTCCCCAAAATGACGGTTCTGGACTCCCCTAAATGACGGTTCTGGACTTCCCCAAATGACGGTTCTGGACTTCCCCAAAATGACAGTTCTGGACTTCCCCAAAATGACAGTTCTGGACTTCCCTAAAATGACGGTTCTGGACTTCTTTCCAGCGATGATTTCAGAAGCTCCTTACAGTGGCAGCCAAAAGAAAATGGGAAGGCCCAAGTCTTCAGAACAGCGATTTCCTCCTGGCATCCATACAGTGGTAACAGAGGAAGTCTCTGCACTCATACAGTGGTATAGTATCTAGACTTCCTAACAGAGGTAGTGGTATGGACTTCTTCATTTGTATATTATCTGGACTTCCTAACAGAGGTAGTCTCTGGACTTCTACAGTGGTATAGTATCTGGACTTCTACAGTGGTATAGTGTCTGGACTTCTACAGTGGTATAGCATCTGGACTTCTACAGTGGTATTGCATCTGAACTTCTACAGTGGTATAGTATCTGGACTTCTACAGTGGGATAGCATCTGGACTTCTACAGTGGTACAGTATCTGGACTTCTACAGTGGTATAGCATCTGGACTTCCTAACAGATAGTGTCTGGACTTCTACAGTGGTACAGTATCTGGACTTCTACAGTGGTATTGCATCTGGACTTCTACAGTGGTATAGTGTCTGGACTTCTACCTCGGTATAGTATCTGGACTTCTACAGTGGTATAATGTCTGGACTTCTACAGTGGTATAGTGTCTGGACTTCTACAGTGGTATATTATCTTGACTTCTACAATGGTACAGTATCTGGACTTCTACAGTGGTATAGTATCTGGACTTCTACAGTGGTATAGCATCTGGACTTCTACAGTGGTATAGT